GGCTCTGGCTCTGGCTCTGGCTCTGGCTCTGCCTCTGCCTCTCTCTCTGCCTCTCTGCCTCTCTCTGGCTCTCTGCCTCTGCCTCTGCCTCCCAAGTGCTGGGATTAAAGGCGTGTGCCACCAACGCCTGGATACATTGGGAATTTGAGACTAGCCTGGGATGCATGAGACAATGTCTGAAGCAAAAAAGAAGAGTCTGAGGGAGCTGCTGAATTCAGTCATTTGGGGCCTCACCTATGCATAAACCATCTAGTCAATTATCCATAAACAAAATCATGTTTGTCTGTCTAAATCACCAAGGGAGAGAAACTGACTGGATTAACCCAGGTATCTAGTGGGGAACAATCAGATCATATAATACAACCTCCCAACAGTGCCAAAAGCGTGAGTACTGCAACCAGTCTTTACCAGAAAGATCAGTTTATCAATTAGAGTTCAAAGGAAATCATAGTGCTGACCCCCCCTGAGCTAAGGGCCTCTGTCCATACCAGCCTTGCATGTGGGGTGTGACCTTTTCCTCATATTCTCTCCTTCCCACCTGGTAATTCTGGTTCTCTTAGCTGCTTATGTGATTGTCAAACAGAGACAGTTAGCAAATATTTGTGCATAAATAGTTTAGCAGTAATAGGAGTAAAATACAGAGTATAATGCATGTATCTGTTTGCATATCTTAAAACATTACTGTATATACATGAAGTAATATACATGAAAGTAATCAGTTTGGGGTGAGAAGGAAACTGAATGCCTGGTGGACTAGGACAGGAGAAAACATTTCACCATATATCTACATACACATACCTATATTAACATGTACACACACCAACCGAGGGCTTTGGAAAGATTGCATGTAGGCCTATTGGCATGCCTCTCAATTCCTAAGGTTTTATATTGCATTGTCCTTGGTCTAGGAAAAGATCAGTATAGTATGTGTGTGTTCATGTGACTGTATGCAGCATGTGTGTGTTTAGTGTGCATGTACATGTGTATGTATGCATGTGAAAGCCAGAGATAGACATCTGGCTCTTCCTCAATTGCTCTCCACCAAATTAATTAATTAACAGTTAATTAATTTTGAGACAGAATCTCCCAGTGAACCTGAAACTTGCTGACTCAGTTAGCCTGTCTGGAAAGGGAGCCAAGGGATCCTCCTACCTCTGTCTCCCCAGTGCTGGGACTGCATGCATGTGCTGCCAAAATTTGGCTTTTTTTATGTAGGTACTTGGGATCAAACTTGGGTCACCAGGCTTGCATGACAACTACTTTACCAACTAACTTAACTCCACTGCTCCTAAGATCATTGCACCTTGTTGGTTAATGAGAGTTCTACCTGAAAACTGCCAATAAGTGGCTTTGTAACTTTAAGCAGATCACTTTCCTTCTCTGGGAAATAAAGAAGTAACTATCAAGGCTAGAGATATGGTTTGATGGCAGTATGAAACCTCTCATTCAATCCCCAGAAACAAAATAAAACAAAACAGAAAAAAAGAAGTAGAATAATCTCCTAAATCATTTCCAATTCCTTGATTCTGTGAGTTTGGGTTTTAGATAGATGATAAATCAATAGACACTAATCAGATTAATAGATGATAAATAGACAGCTCAATAGGTAGATGATAGACAGTAGGTAGGTAGGCAGATAATAGATGAATGATAGAAGATAAGTAGATAGTTAGATTATATATGCATATATATATAATAGAAGATAGAATGTGTATATACACACATGTACAAGATCCAGAAGGATCTTCCAAGGAGGATGGTTCAGGCTCCAGGACTGGCTTTGTGATTTCCATCTTCTCAGAGGAAAGGTTTTTACTGTATCACTCATATCACTTTCATTAATAAATCAGAAGACACATGGAATGCCTATTATGCACAAGCACTTCTAATTCTCTCAGTGTATTATTCACTTGGTGATGTCCATCTGAGCAGTGTTACTGTTCTCATTTTACAATTGAGGGAGAGAAAACCGAGAAAGGGTTGACATCACTGTTATTGGGAGAAGAGCATGGATGTGAAGCCAGGTCTACCTCACTACAGGAGTCTGGTTCCTTAATCTTGGACACTGGTAGAGGCCCAGAATGAAAGGTTGTTAAAGTCTAGACTATAGACCTAATACATCAAACAGGCACAGGCTCCAGGATGTAGCCTAGATCCCACAGGAAGAGCTCTCGATTCTGACCACTCACACTTTCCCTCTAGGTGGTGGTTTGCTTCAGACTGCACAGGGATGGACCTGTACCAGTCCTGTTGTGCTATCTTTAAAGATTTTTTAAAAGATTTACTTATTTTTATGTGTGAGTTTATCTGCATGTATATATATGCACTCTGTGAGTCCCTGGTGCGCATGGAGGCCAGAAGAGGGCATCAGAGCCCCTGGAACTAGAGTCACAGTAGCCATTGTAATCCAACACAGGTCCTCTGCAAAAGCATTAAATGTTCATAACTGCTGAGCCATCCCTCCAGCACCCGTTCCCTGCCATGCTCTCATTCATGCTTCATGTTCTAGGTAACTTGTCTTTTCCTACTCAGTGCCAAGATTTCAGCATAAAGCCAGCTAAGCTCTGTCAACACACATAAAAAGACTTGGCAAGGCCTGAATGGCTTGGCCAGTAGACAAACAATGAGGTACTTTTAGACTTGGCCTCTCACTCACATGTTCAGATGAAGGGTGCACAAAGGTGTCAGGCATCTTCTCAGGTTCTGATTTGTTTTGAGTTTTTTGTTTTGTTTTTGTTGTTTTGAAACAGGGTTTCTCTGTGTAGCCCTGGCTGTCCTGTAACTCAGTTTGTAGAGCAGGCCAGCTTCACCTAGATCCATCTACCTCTGCCTCCTGAGTGCTTCAACTAAAGGTGTGGGAAGTTTTGGTTAGGCCCTTTGTTCTGTAGCAGTGTGGATGCAGGTGATGTCGCCAAGATGTTTTATTAAAAGATAATGACCTACAATTTTCATTAGAATTTGAGCACCCTGCTGTGGGGAGAGGAAGAGGAGCTTGAGACAGGGCCTGACTCTGCAGCAGGCTTTTCTGGGCCAGCACTCACTGTATAAACCAGGCTGGCCTCCTCCTCACTGCAGCCTCATATTCACAGCAGTCTTCCTGTCTCGTTTCCCAATTGTTGAGCTACAGGTGCAAGCCACCACACCCTGCTACTAAGCACACATTCTGCCACTGAGCTGCATTCCTAGGCTAGGGAGGGTTTGCTTGTTCCTGTTAATCATGGTATAAAAGAGAGAAAATGAACTGAAAACTAAAAACTCTGAGTTTACCTTTCTCACACTGTCACCCACATAGGTCTTGTCTCAAGTTTCTTAGTATTGGGATTGCCAGGCTGTACTACCAGGCCTGTATTCTAATTCACTATAAAAGTCAGGAAATTTGTCCTTTTTCCTCCCTTTTTGCAGGTTCAGGATTAAGAATAGTGCACATATTAGCCGGGTGTTGGTGGCGCACGCCTTTAATCCCAGCACTCAGGAGGCAGAGGCAGGCGGATCTCTGTGAGTTCGAGGCCAGCCTGGTCTACAAAGTGAGTTCCAGGACAGCCTCCAAAGCCACAGAGAAACCCTGTCTCGAAAAACCAAAAAAAAAAAAAAAAAAAAAAAAAGAATAGTGCACATATTAGAGAATCCATGAGTGTAAAGGAAGTACAAGCTCACAGTATTCTGATAATGAATTGGGTGTGTGTTTAAACTCTTAAAACCTGTCCTGAGGCCAGAAATTTCCTAAGGGATACTTAGAGAAAACCACTTTCCTTTCTTTCAGGGAGCTCAACATAAAAAGACTTGAGTGGAGACTCATTTAACCTTACAGTGGGTCAGTACACACTGTGCAATGGGACATGGTGCCTGTGGGTCATTAGCGCCATTATAGTAATCCCAATGACACACGACTCCACACACAATAGTAACAGAAACGGGGGTGGAGTGGGGGTGGTAGTTTAGCTTCTCCTCCCATCTGGTCTCCCCCTACTCCTTTCCCTACACTGCTTTCCCTCCTTTCCCTTAACTAACGTATAGTGTAGATTAGGAAAGAATTATGGGTCAAGGAATCCCCTCTGACTATAACAGTTACCCTTGGGCCTTATTTCTCCATTTCTAATGTATCAGTGTCATAGACATTGCTCTCTTTCATTGCAACTAAGTGACATGTTTTACCTATTTTACAGGGTGGACCCTGACCAAACAAACAAACACAAAAAAGACTGGATGGCCTATTGAAGATCTTTTACATTAAAGACAAATTTCTCTATCCAAATTCAGGGTTTTTTCCATCATTACTGTGTAATGCTAATGTCTCCAAAGCCATAGCCTCTCTGTCTTTGAGAGAGGGAGGGAGGGAGGGAGGGACGGACGGACGGACAGACAGAAAGAAAGAAAGCATGCTATATAATATGCTATGTAGAGGCTGGATGACAACCCGAAGGAGCCGGTTTTCTCCTTCTGAAATCTTATGGGTTCCAGAGACGGAAATCAGGTCTCCAGAGTTGGTAGCAAGTGCCTGTACCTGCTCAGCCATCTCTTCAGCCCGTAAACGGGGAGTTTTTCTGCTGTGAGTAGATAATATAGATATATTGACTGTGTGGTGGGGTGAATGTTGGTTGATTCCTCTTAGGATTTTCAGAAAGTACCTGCGTACACCTTTTCTGGGTTTTCCCTCCAGTCAGTCATGGCGCGCCTCCTCCCAGCGCTCGGTGGCGCTGTTGGGCCCCATCACGCGCAGTGGCGAGAGTTATCCTTCTTGGTCCGGCCGCTAGCCTTCCCCCGTCGGAGGGCGGGGCTCCAGGAACCGGAAGTGCCGAGGCCTCTGCCGCCGTCTCGGTCGCCGCTGCCTTTAAGCCCCTTCGTCCGCCGCCTGGGTGCCGCCGGTGCCGCCGCCCGGGAAGCTGCTGTGGCCCGGACGGGAGCGGAGGCGGCACGGCATGAAGCGGCGTAGGCCCGCTCCATAGCGCGTCGGGACGGTCCGGGCGGGCCCGGGGGAAGGTGCAGTATCCGCCCGCTCTCCCTCCTCTGCGCCCGCGAGGCCGCGGTGCTCTGGCCGGCCGCCCTCGGGCCGCTTCCGTGGGGGCAGAGCGGGTGGCTGGGCCCCGCTGGCCGGAAGAGGAAGCGCACTCGGATTGCGAGGCTGCCAACGTTCGCTAGGCGCCCCTGAACGCTGGCTGCTGCCCGCTCGGACTCGCACGTCCGTTATCTTGATAGAGCCTGGCTCGGGTTGGGATGCCGGGGACGGTCCGGGCTTACGGAGGAGGAAACGGAAGTCTGCAAAGGCGAAGGGGTTCGCCTGAGGTCCGCCAGTGGCGGATGGGATTTTCCTTCGGACTCGCTGCTTTTCCCCAGCCTGTGTTCCTTCCTCCCTCCTGCTTCACTCTAGATCCATTCCTCCGCGCTCACTGTCTCGCTGCCATTCTGTTCCACCCATCCATTCGCACCAGGGTCCTGCCCTTCCTGTCTAGCCTGGGTGTTCCTACTGTCCTTCCTCGCCACATCCCTTACCACTCCTCTCCTCCTTCCTCGTTTATAGCTTTCAAGCTCTTTGCCTTTGATAAACTTTGTCAGTTGTAGATGCCAAAGTGAAATGGCTAGGCTCCAGTGAGGTGTGCAGAGCTTGGACGTCTAATTGGCCCTTACCGTAAAACTGTGGGATCTCATCTCGTAGATCACACCCCAAGAATCACAAGCTCTTTTTAGCCCAACATACCATTCTCGGAGTGAGGATCTTTGCTCCTTGAGATGGTGTCTTGAATCTTAGCCTGTTGCTGCTGTCTTAACATTTTTTTTACCCTCCTGTTGCCACGTAGCTTTTCTCAGTTTTGTATCACCTATGTGGAATACGGAGCTTGAGTCTAAACTAAGATGTAATCACACACAATTTTTTTCTAAACCAGATTGTCAACCGGCTTAGTGATTATTTTTCCAGAAATGCTACCCATCTCACGTATTCTCAGTAATGTGGCCAGAAAAGAAGGCAAAAATGGAATGCACTTAAAATGAATAGGACATTCTTTACCTATTCTAGCTGGGTATGGTGGTGCATATCTGTAACCCCAGCATTGGGGCGGCTGAGCAAGAGGATCTTGAGTTCAAGGCCACCCTTGGCTACAGAGTGATACCCTGTCTCTAAACAAACAAATGAACACAATTTAGATGATTAAATTCTGGTTCCCTTTATGCCTATAATGCACATTTTTGGTTGTATTGAATTCTCTCACCAACTCAACATCATGTAAAAGGAACATAGGCACATAGAAAATAAATTATGTCTTGTGTTGTGTGTGCTCGCGGCTCTACACGCACATGTCTTAGGGATCATGTGGAAATTAGGAGAAAACTTTTGAGAGTCAGTTCTCCCAAACTACACTTTGTTGCAGCATACTCCAGACAAACTGACCCTCCATCTTCGGCCAGTCCTACCTATGCCTCCCTTTCCGCATGAGGGATGTCGGTTTTACAGGTGGACCAACCCTTTTCTGGCTTTCAGGGGATCCTCAGGCTTCTGCCTCACATGCTTTTATCTTTTCTTCCCCTTGTTTTTCAAGACAGGGTTTCTCTGTGTAGCTTTGGAGCCTGTCCTGGCACTTACTCTGTAGGCCAGGCTGGCCTTGAACTCACATAGATCTGCCTGTTTCTGCCTCCCAAGCTGGGAGTAAAGGCATTCGCCACCACCGCCTAGTGCTTTTATCTTTTAAACCAATTCCCTAGCCCTAGAAATAAATTGCATCTGCCACTTTCAAAGTTTCGCAATTGGCATCTCATCTATTTTATTTTCAATTTGTCAACTTTATTTTCAATTGTGTGTATGTGTGACTGTATGTACATATAAGTGCAGTTCCTATAGACAATAGAGGTATTGGATTCTCCCTTAGAACTGGTCTTAGAGGTGATTGGGAGCAGCCAGAAGTAGGTGCAGGGAACCGAACTTGGGGCCTCTCCAATAGCATTACTTGCTTATGACCGCTGAACCATCTCCAGCCCACTTTTGCAATTTTTCAAGCCCTTCTATAATTTTTCTCTTTAATGTGTCTTGGCCTCAAGATTTTCATTGTTGTTAGGACTTAAAGCTTCAATTTGAGCCATACATTTCTGGAAAAAGTAATTTTAGGGCTGGAATTATTAGCAAAGGTCTATAGTTACAGCACTCAGAAGGCTGAAGAAGGAGTACTAAGAATTCAAGACCTGCCTGGGATTTGTTAAGTTGGAGATCCAAAAATAATTCAGTCATTACATGTTACGCTAAAAAGAAGTTTATCAGTTAAATATCATTTTGGGATTTTATGCTTATTTTTTGGCCATGTATGGTCCATTTTAATGATCAACAATCTCTTATCTGGTAAGCAGGATTGGATGGTGAGAAAAGGGAAGATTCCTGTGAGAAGAGATCAGGATGAACGGAGAGATCTGGGCTTAAAGTTGGGCCAGGTGAAAATGGTCTCTTTGAAAATAGAGATCTGAGCGGATGAGAATACAATCAGGTACGCATAGGGAAAATCCGTAGGTGAGGAGGTTGGTAGGGCAGTGAGCTATATTTATTGCGCTGGCAAAATGGACAAGGACCCTGTTTGAAAGAATTCAGGACACATATTTTGAGAATGTATTTGCATATAGAATCTCTGGAAATTAGTTGCACATTTATGCAAATTGCACAATATTTGTTGTAGAAAGGGCAGAATAAATATTTACTCTGAACAGACTGGCAGAATGTCATTTGAACGATACAGTGTATGTGTGTGTGGAGACAAATAGCATAGTCTATTCAGAAATTCCTGGTTTTTAAGTAGAAACTGGTGTAAGTTTTTACAAAGAAGGAGTCTAAAGTTGTTAATGACTCCAACTGGGCAGTAAGACTCTGGAAGTCTACTGAGCTGCTCTCTTCTGTTCCTTGGTCTTGTACTTGCAAGGAATGAAGTGGAAATGGGATTTCACACATAAGAGGACCAAGTCACATTAGTATAGATTCTTTCAATTTTAGTTTATCGCTCCATCAGAAAACTAGGTCCTTTGACATACTTGATTGAAAATACACCTCCACTAGCTTTCAGGTAGGCCAGCAGCCACTACTTTCACATACTGCCACTTGATAACTCTTCATCCCAGTTGATCTAAAAGCTCAATTCACTACCAGATTTTAGTCAGTGGAACCTTGGATACTCAGTGATGAGTGTTAGAACTATACCTGATGTAACAGTATTTGGACTACTCTACTTTGTCATTGTTCTATTTGAAGGGACAGTATCATGCACTGTAACAAGGAAAATGATGCAATGTCCCCTGTGCACAATTCAACACCTTTGCATACCAGAAATGCAAGTTAGGTGGACTGACAGCTCACACCTTCTAGTATCTTGCTAGATGCAGACAACTTCTGCATGAATTGATGTCAACCTACAAAGCTTAGCTTTAAAAGAAAGACATTAAATACACAGCTATATATTGATTGTTGGAAGGAGTTAATGATTATATGAAATGTGGCTATATACATAGTTTGTTTTCTTTAGTGGAACTGGGATTGAACCCACCACTGAGCTTCATCTCTACATGGTTTTATGATAGCATTTTTTTTTTTGTGGTGGTTATACTTTGTTCATGTTAGTTTAAATATCAGAAAGATCAAGGGAGAAAGTGTATCTTCTGGATTTGTAAAATAAGTACAATCAGTTCTCAAAGCTATTAAATATGGTATTGAACTGGTAATTGGGTTCACTTATAAAATTCTGATGTGAATACCATATGCTTTCTTTATTAACTACTTCAAGTAATTAAAGCCACTTAAAGATATTATATTTTTCTTTTTTGAATGATATAGACCTTCATAATCAGGAAGACTAATCATGTAATCATCAGTAAAACACTAAGTACTACAAGGACAGGAGCACAAAGTTCAGAATGTATCAAGTTGTGTTTAGTTGTTTGTGGAATCCTTGCCTGTAAAAGAAAACAATGTATTTTCTTAGGTTACTGCCCTAGTTAAAAGTTCATTGTTTGTAACAATGTTGTTATTATACTAATTTGTTACATTTTAGAAACATGATCCGAATTTGTTAGAAGTGTTTTATTTACCTTCCTTGGCACATAGCTTCTGTATTGACATGCTCTGGAGTAGAATGTAGTAGCCAACTGGCACATGGCCTGTTTCCTCCTAGTGTGGGAAAGGAAAAGGAATTTTGGCAAGAGATACCCAAGGAGAACCTTTTATAAAAAGTTCCCTGAAGGGATTTATAGCCACTTTGAAATTGACATGACCTCAATTTAAAAAAAAAAATTTTTTTTGGAACTGAGCACAGAAGTGGGGGTGGAGGATACCACTATTGCTTTTCATATTAGGTCTCAGAGCAGCTGTGTCGAACGGCTTGCTTGCTTGCTTGTTTGTTTGTTTATTTATTTATTTATTTATTTGGTTTTTTGACCCTATCATTGTGATAATAAAATAGAAGACAGCCCTCTGAAGGACTTCTTGTGGCTTGTTTTTCCAGGAAAATGCAACATGGCAGCAGCAATGGAAACAGAACAGCTGGGTGTTGAGATATTTGAAACTGCAGAGTGTGAGGAAGGAACTATTGAATCACAGGATCGACCTAAACTGGAGCCGTTTTACGTCGAACGATATTCTTGGAGTCAGCTAAAAAAGCTGCTTGCTGATACCAGAAAATATCATGGCTACATGATGGCTAAGGCACCGCATGACTTTATGTTTGTAAAGAGGACAGATCCAGATGGCCCTCACTCAGACAGGGTCTACTATCTTGGTGAGTATGAAGTTACACTTTCCGAGAAGGAATTTCCTCGAGTCAGGACTAACTGTAATTCAGACTATTTCAGTAGTAAGCAAATATGTGGCTCATTTCCTTTAAAGGAAAAAAATCACTTTTAATTTGAAGAACTTCTGTTCGGTGGCTATATTAATTTTGACTTATCTCATTAACTATATTTTTACTTGCAGGCAGCAGGTAATTGACCATGATCTTTTTGACAAAGTCAAAGTTAAGCAGTGAATTGATTCTCCCTAGTTTGAAATGCCTTTCCTTGAGAATGGTCAAATGAGGACAAACTGTAAACCTTTCCCATCCTTTTTTTGTTTTGTTTTTTGTTTTGTTTTGAGACAGGGTTTCTCTGTATTATTTTGGAGCCTGTCCTGGAACTCGCTCAGTAGACCAGGCTTGGTCTCGAACTCACAGAGATCCACCTGCCTCTGCCTCCTGAGTTCTGGGATTAAAGGCATGCGCCACCATCACCTGGAGAGTATGTTCCCATCCTTAACTGCTGCATATTTCCTTGTTTTAAACCAAGCTTGGTCTCTTCTTCCTTAGTTCGTTTATTCCATGCTTAAGATCTGTCTGAATTAAATATATATATATATTAGTCTACTAATTTAGTGTTTCCTTTTTTGTGCTGGAGTTTGAACCCAAGGCCATTTGCATGTTAAGAACACATTACACCACTGAGTTACACCATAACCTCCTTGAACATTTGCCCTCCCCCCAGCTTTTGCCTCCTGTGTGTTGTGATTACAGATGTGTGTCATTATGTCCAGCTCCTAATTTTCTTTCTTTTTAAAATGTTTATTAAATTTATTTGTGTGTGTGTGTGTACAGGGCTAATAATCTATAACCATAGTTTTTGTAAGATCTCTAACTCACTGTGTAAGAGATGCTGGCCTTGAACTCCTGACCCTCCTTTCTCCGCCTTCCACATACTGAAATTGCAGTGAAACATCACCTCATCAGTTGTGGTACTTTTGTTATTGTTTTGTCAGGGTTTACTGTGCAGTCTCACGGTCAGGCTTTGAACTAAAGAGGTCTGCCTGTTTCTGACTCCCCCTCCCAAGTGCTGGGATTAAAGGCATGTGCCACCACACCAGCCCAGTTATGGTTCTTTTGTTTTTGTTTTTTGTTGTTGTTGTTGTTTTGTTTTGCTTTTTGCTTTTCTCTGTTCAACAGTCATAGGTGTCCTAAAACTCACTCTGTAGACCAGGTTGGCCTTAAACTTACAGATATCCACCTGCCTCTGCCTCCCAAGTACTGGGATTAAAGGTGTGGACTACCACCGCCCAGCTAGTATACACTTTTATTTGAAACTCCAAAGGCATTGTTACAATAATAGATCTTTATAATGAAGAAAAACTGGAATTAAGTTGAACTTTTTTGTTTCTAGGTACAATTTAGATAGTTAAGAAAATAAAACTAAGAAAGAAGAAAATTTCTAATTTAAAATCACACTGAAATCTCATCTGTTATTTACCAAAACTAACAAAATAAAAAATGAGTTTCTTAACTCTTATGCTGTCTTACATGCTTTAATAAGTTTTGTCTTTACATGAACTAGGATCTGAATATCAAGGCTGGAGAGATGACTCAATTATCTGAGTTAAGTAAGGTTAGGAGTACTTGCTGCTCTTCTGTAGAACCCAGGTTCAGTTCATAGCACCCACATCATCAGGTGCCTCATGCCCTTCTGTAACTCAGCTCCAGGGATCACATTGAGCATCTAAACACATGTGGTATACATTTGTGCACGAGTGTATGTGTACATGCTCTTACACAAAATCTTTTTGTTTGTTTTGCTTTCTGTTTTTTCGAGACAGGGTTTCTCTGTATAACAATCTAGAACTCACTCTGTAGACCAGGCTGGCCTCGAACTCACTGAGATTTGCCTGCCTCTGTCTCTTGAGTGCTGGGATCAAAGGCATGCACCATCAATGTCTGTTATTTTTATGTTTACCTCTTGCTTAGTTTTTTTTTTTTGTCCATCTGCTCAAACTGGACTCTAACTCATAATCCTGCCATTCCTGAGAGCTAAAATTGTAAACATGTGCCCTGACACCACAGAATCTTTTGTGAGCTTATTGTTCTTTTCTTTACTTTTTTTTTTTCTTTTTGAGACAAGATTTCAGTTAGTCCAGCTTGGCCTCAAACTTTAGATTCTCCTGCCTTTACCTCCTGAGCTCTGAAATTACAGGTGTTTGCTACCATGCCCAGCTTGAAGCATTGTTTTTATTCAAGAAAATTTCCAAGGCACAAGGCATATGCATACCCTACTTAATAACATGATTTTGGTTCCTGTAGAATAGAAAACACTGTAATATATAGAAGGTGTTATGTATTTGTAACTGTTGTAATAAGAACAGTATAACAAAATAGTAATATGTGGTGGATATTTGTTTGTTTTTTTTCTCCTTATAGCCATGTCTGGTGAGAACAGAGAAAATACACTATTTTATTCTGAAATCCCTAAAACCATCAACAGAGCAGCAGTCTTAATGCTTTCATGGAAACCTCTTTTGGACCTTTTTCAGGTTGGGACAAATACTCTTGTTTCTATGATTTGGTATATATTTCTTCATTTATTTCAGGGCAAAAATTCATCTAGGGCTTTATATTTTAACTAGATGTGAAAAGGAATTAAAATATTTCATTACTTTTACATTGCAGTCCTTAAACAGTTCTCGGTGTCTAAAACCATAGGATATTACAATTCAAGTTTTGGTGTTTAGTTTCATTTATTTTAAACATTTTAGATTTTTTTAGTTTGCACAAATGAATGTTTGCCTACATGTATGTATGTGCATGACTAGTATCCATAGGTGGCAGAAGAGGGCATTGGATCCTCTGGAACTGGAATTACAAATAATTGTGAGCCATCTGATGTGAGTGCCGGGAATCAAACTCAGGTCCTCTGAAGGAACAACAAATGTTCTTAAACACTGAACCATCTCTCCAGCCCTATTTTGTTTATTTTTGAGGCAAGGTCTCATTGTGTATCCTTGACTGGTCTTGATGTTTACTATGTAAACTACACTGGCCTTGAACTTGTGGCAATCCTCTTGCCTCTGCCTTCTGAAACTTTCCCATGCCTGTAATCCTAGTACTGGGGAGGTATGAAGGTGGAAAGGTCAGAAGATCAGAAGTTTGAGGCTGGTCAGTATCCCACCACACACACTCACAACAGTCTCTTCTCTTGGCTTGCCCAGCATATACTCAGCTGCTATGTTCAGTCCCATCAAGGCAGCTGGGGAGATCACTGCTCCACAACTAACTGTATGCAAAGCTACTGAATTATGGTTAGACTATAGAGGGCCTTACCTACTAAGATGATGGATTTTATGCAATAGTGATTAAATGGTTCTTTACTCAAAATTTCAGGAGAGTTTCTAAGATTAATCTGCTTAGAGTAACTGGCAACTTCTGAGTCACTAGGTACAGACGTAAACACTGAAGAGATGGTAGAGTTTCAGTGAATTGCAAAGACTAGTTCTCAGAAGACTGGAATGGATGACTTTCCTTTTGTTGTAGGCAACACTAGACTATGGGATGTATTCTCGAGAGGAAGAGCTACTCAGAGAAAGAAAGCGAATTGGAACTGTGGGAATTGCAGCTTATGATTATCACCCAGGAAGCGGGACATTCCTGTTTCAAGCTGGTAGTGGAATTTACCATATCAAAGATGGAGGCCCACATGGATTTACGGTAAATTGTAGTTACTATGTGTTAACTCTTTTGGTGTCCTAAAGAGAATTTGTACCCAAATCAGAAAGGAAATTAACAAATAAACCAAAAGGGTCAGTTTACCCACCAGCTAAGAAATTAATGTTAATTTTTAAGAGTTGATAGTTTACTGGGCACTGGTGGCACACACCTTTAATCCCAGCACTTGGGAAGCAGAGGCAGGTGGATCTCTGTGAGTTCGAGGCCAGCCTGAACTATAGATTGAGTTCCAGGACAGCCTCCAAAAGCTACAGAGAAACCCTGTCTCGAAAAACAAAGCAATAAATAAATAAATACAATCTTAAAACAAACACAAAAACAGATGAGCATTGGAGAAATGGCAGTTTAGTTCCCAGGAACCATATCAGGCAGCTCGCAGCTTGAGGCCAGCCTGGTCTACAGAGTGAATTTCAGAACAACCAAGACTACACAAAGAAACCCTGTATAACAGATAATAATTACTCCATTAAACAATCTGAGCAGCAGATTTCACAAAATACTGTTACATTGTCTTGGTGTGTAATATAGTGTTTATTATCTATTACCCTTAACTTTTCCATTCATTATTTTAAAAAAGAGGCCTTATTTGTTAAACCAATTAAAAATATATTTTTTCTGGGATACAGCCATTATGAACATTTTAGCTAGAAATTTCATCTATCTTCCAGGAAAAAAAAGCTGGAAAACAAATTTGTTTTGTCAACCTGATAGCTTACCTTAAAATGTTGTGTATTTTTCTAGCAACAACCTTTACGACCCAATTTAGTGGAAACAAGTTGTCCCAACATACGGATGGATCCAAAATTATGCCCTGCTGATCCAGACTGGATAGCTTTCATTCACAGCAATGATATCTGGATATCGAACCTGGTAACCAAGGAAGAACGGAGGATCACCTATGTGCACAATGGTAAGGCAGAGCTCTGCAGCCTGGCTTTGCTTCATTTTACTTCCATTTTGAAATTAAAGCAAACTGGGTGATCTTTATTTTTAAGTTCAGGTGTTTAAAACTGGAAAGGTATGGAGGACAGAGAATATATCCACACCCCTTAGATAATGCTATTCTCTTCTCAGCCATTTTCAGGCATCAGTGCATCTCTGCTATGCTTTTAATTCCAGCACCTGGGAGGCAGAGGCAGGTGTATCTGAGTTTGAGGCCAGCTTGGTCTACAGAGTGAGTTCCAGAACACAGAGAAACTTTGTCTCAAAAACAAAAAACAAAAAGTTTCAAAAAGTAGAACTTGGGCTGGAGAGATGGCTCAAAGGTTAAGAGCAGTGACTGTTCTTCCAGAGGTCCTGAGTTTAATTCCCAGCAACCACATGGTGGCTTACAACCATCTGTAATGAGATCTGGTGCCATCTTCTGGCATACAAGGAGGCAGAATGTTGTATACATAATAAATAAATAAATCTTTTTTTTTTTTTTTAACTAGAACTTGAATTTGTCACAGATTGATTGCTGGATTGAGTTCACCTGTGATAGCTGTCTGTAATGGACACATGCAAACATTTTGTGACATTATTATTGGTCATTCTCCAAGCAATGTGGTGCAATAACTGTTTACAATGTAATTAAGTAATTAATTAAAGTCTACATGAGGATGCACTTGGGTTCTGCAGAAACACTATGGTGTTTTATGTAAAGAGACTTGTGGTATTTGAACAGCATCTTAAGGGAACTGACCTTTAAATGATGGTAAAGATGCCAGGTGGTGGTGGCACGCACCTTTAATCCCAGCACTTGGGAGGCAGAGGCAGGAGGATCTCTGTGAGTTTGAGACCAGCCTGGTCTACAAGAGCTAGTTCCAGGACAGCCTCCAAAGCCACAGAGAAACCCTGTCTCAAAAAGAAAAAAAAGATTCTAAAGAACTGTGGCAAGGGTATATATTGAATAAGGTGATGCTGGCCATCAAGCAACTAAATAAACAATAATAGCAATATAGAGTAGACCAAATGTGGAGTACTATAGAACATCAAGAGAAGTAGTGGTTGGGTAGACTTTCCAGAGCTCAATGTGACTGACCTTAAATGATGTCTGTATTTTAGCAAAGTGTTCCAGAAAGGGAATTGTGCAAGTAAGGTCTTATTCTGAAAGGTGCTATGGCCTTTGTGAGGAGCTGAAGCACTCAGTTGTCCAGTGCTGGTGGGGGCAAAGGGGGAGACTTCAGCAGTCAAGGTGGGTGGTTAGGGTTGTACTGGACATAAAGGGTTTTGGATACTACAGGCCATGACAAAGCTTAGCAACTGCCATCACTGGAGTCACAAGTCTGTTGAAAATTTAAGCCCTTTTTTATCTAGTCAACAAACTAAACACTATATACTACTTATTGTATTTGAAACTAGGACTGCAAAGCTCTCACAAAACTGTCAGAAATAAAGCATTTTTAAGTTTTGTGGGACTTTTTTTGGTTTTTTGTTTTGTTTCAGGAAGCCTTAATGAGTTAATTGTTGTGCAGTGTTCAGAATTGTGGCTGAAACATAATGAGGGCTGTGAATTGTCTGTTTAGATAGAAAGGGATGGAGGAAGGGAACATGGTCAGCCAATGTTAGTCATAGTAGGTTATGATGAAAGCTCACTTAGAAAGTGAATTTGATCTTTCAGGATGCATGTGTGTTTATTCTCTGCTCAGTATGATGGAGGAGTTTAAAAGTACTGGTTCTGGCCCTGATAACCCTCTGTTGAGAAGACAAGGTGATACCAGTTTTCCAGTTAGTAACTTGTAATAAGTAGCAGAGATCCAAAGCAGTCACATCTAAAGGAGAACAGAATAGATAGAAAGTTGGCAGTGTAGTTTGCAGTAGTTAAAGGATCCAAGAAACTCAGCAGTGCTCTTGGCTCTTTTACTAATTCCATGTTTCAGAAAGTTCTGAACACATTGTTGTCATTAGCTAGGAACTGAAACTCATTTAGTAGCAAAACCTGACCTGAACTGGCTTGAGAGTATTTATAACATTTGCCCTGCTCAGTGTGCCTTCCCTTCAGTTTGCTGCTGAGATGTTGGGGTATTAGATTACACTTTATCCAGTTGTGCTGCTGGTGCTGTTACATAATACACTGTAGATGTGCACTACATGAAGCCTTTGAATTCCAAATGCTTGACTTGGTTTTTTGGGGTAAGGGACTATTGGTTCATATTGCATATTCATTTCATACAATGTAGAATACAGATGATCAAAAATGGTAAATTAAAGCTGACTGTAATGGCACATGCCTTTAATCCCATCACTTGGGAAGTAGAGGCAGGCAGATCAAAGCCAGCCTGGTCTACAGAGTGAGTTCAAGGACAACCAAGGCTACACAGAGAAACCCAGTCTTGCAAAAACAAAACAAAAAGAAAGAGAAAGAAAAGAAAATTAAATCTTACCTATGCTGGGCACAGATATGCCTATAATTCAAGCACTTAGGAGACTGAAGTAGGAGGATTAGTTGGAGTTTAAGACTAACCTGGGCAGCATAGCAAGACCCTGTCTTTAAAAAAGAAAATAAAACCATACTTATATATTACTGCTCACCAAGTAAACAAGCAAAAATGAGAAAGATTGAGAATACCAACTGTTGATAAGAGTGTAAAATAATAGAAATGCATCCCCACAAAGTTAAACACTCTGCGGGGCAGTGGTGGCGCACACCTTAAAGCCCAGCACTCGGGAGGCAGAGGCAGGTGGATCTCTGTGAGTTGAGACCAGCCTGGTCTATAAGAGCTAGTTCCAGGACAGCCTCCAAAGCCACAGAGAAACCCTGTCTCAAAAAACAAAAATCAAACAAGCATAAAAAAGTTAAACACACTCCACTAACCAGCCACTTGTCTTCAAAAGAAATGAATGCACATGTCCACGGAAATTATTGTGTAAGAATAAATGTCCAGGGTGGAGAGATGACTCAGGTTAAGAGCACTGGCTGCTCTTCCAAAGGTCCTGAGTTCAATTCCCAGCACCCACATGGTGGCTCACAACTGTAACGCCAAGATCTGACACCCTCACATAGACATACATACAGGTAAAACACCAATGCACATGAAATAAGAATAAATTATTTTTAAAAAAGAATAAATGTTCATATTATCTTTATTCACAGTAACCAAAAACAGCCCATATGTCAGCAGAAGAATAGATGAAAGATCCACAGCATCACCCAACATGTGGCCTACACCATTAATCCCACCACTCAGGAGACAGAGGCAGGCCAGTTTCTGAGATGAAGGCTAGCTTGGTCGACATAGTGAGTTCTAGGCCAGCCATGGCCTGTCATATAGCCAGACCCTGCCTGTCTTAGTTACTGTTGTGTAGCTGTGATGAAATACTATGACCAAGGCAACTTAGAAAAGGAAACACTTAGTTGGAAACTTGTTTACAGTTACAGAGGGTGAATGCATGGTTAACATGGCAGGGAGTGTGGGGGCAGGCAAGACAGTCAGGTATCATGCTGGAGTAGTAGCTGAGAGCTTACATCTGATCTACAAGTGCAGGCAGAGAGGGACTGGGCCTGGAATGGACTTTTTGAAGCCTTGAAGCCCACCCCCTGTGAAACACCTCCTCACATAGGACCACACCTCCTAATCCTTTCACATAGTTCCACTGCCCGGGACCAAGCATTCAGACATATGAGCCTATGGGGAACATTATTATTCAAACCACCCACTGTCTTAAGAAAAGAACCCACAAATCCATAGAATCAATGAACTATTACTTAACAAGAACTAAGTACTGACAAATGTCAAAACATTGATGATTTTCAAAAACAAGCCACATTCGAACTATATTGTAAACATGATACAAAATCTTACATAATAGTGGCTCTGTGACTTATCTGTTTAGGTAGTTATTGGTACTGAGGGTACTAGAACCAAACATATGCTGAGCTCTACCACTGACATGCCACCATGGAATGAGACAGTTTGCGCAAGGTCATACAATAGGTAAATGGTGATGCCCAGATTTGAATTCAATCTCTTTGGCTCCATGGTTGACTACTACAATCAGCTATTGTAGATGGGAGTTTTTGTCCTGCCAGGTTCCAAATAAACACATAGAGGCTTATACTAATTATAAATTGTTAGGTCGGTGGCTCAGGCTTCTTATTGGCTAGCTCTCTCTTAATTATTTACTCATTATAATCTACATGGTCTTGGCTTACTGGTAATGCCTAGGCATCCTACTTTCCCAGTAGCTACATGATGTCTCCCTGGAGACTCACTTTCTGTGTTCCTCTCCCCAGAATTCTCCTAGTCTGGTTGCCCTGCCTATACTTCCTGCCTAGCTATATCCTGCCTGTCCTTTGGCTGAAACAGCTTTATTCATCAACTAATAAGAGAAACATATCCACAGCCTACAGAAGGATATCCCCCATCAAACTACCTTTTTTTAGAAGTGACAGAATCATTTTGCTTTGTCCTATTGTTAAGAAAAAAAAAGAGTTTGGAGGTAATTTTGCCTTGTTTTGTTTGTACAGAGCTAGCCAACATGGAAGAGGATCCCAGATCAGCTGGAGTTGCTACCTTTGTTCTTCAAGAAGAATTTGATAGATACTCAGGCTACTGGTGGTGTCCACAAGCTGAAAGAAGTAAGTGAGTTCAAGTAGTATGTCACGGGTCACTTGAAGTATTAAAGGTTTGGCTGACTTTTGGCTCACTGTATCGACCCTAAAGCTGGGATGGTAATTGAAAAAGATGAAGATTAGACCGTACTAGTAGCTATTCAGAAAAGATAGGCCTTAACCACCTACCCCACATGAATTCTGGTAGAAACAGTTACCTTCTGCCTCAGCACCTCAGATGCTGCTTGCCAGTTTTCATCTAGAAAGGTCCACACTAATGACATGATTGAGTGGCATCTGCATGAACTGGTGTAGTGGGAACGAGTAACTGAGAGACTTAAAGGAGCAGTCCACACTGTCTAACCACAGTCCAGTGAGAAACTCCCTTACAACCATGTGGCCTAATATATTCATAGACAAAATTGGAAACACAATTTATGAAGCAGTATTTCTTAGGTGTTATGTACTTTAATACTTTCTTTCCTTTTTTATTCTTTTTTTTTTTTTTTAAACAGGGTTTCTCTGTAGCTTTGGAGCCAGTTCTGGAAGTCACTCTGTAGACTAAGCTGGCCTCGAACTCACAGAGATCCACCTGCCTCTGCCTCCCAAGTGCTGGGATTAAAGGCATGCGCCACCACTGCCTGGCTCCTTTTCTTTTTTATTCTTTTTTTTTTTTAAGATTTATTTATTTATTACATATACAATGTTCTGCCTACACGCCAGAAGAGGACACCAGATTGAATTGTAGATGGTTGTGTGCCACCATGTGGTTGCTGGGAATTGAACTCAGAACCTCTGGAAGAGCAGGCAGTGCTCTTAACCTCTGAGCCATCTCTCCAGCCCCTCTTTTTTATTCTTTAAGATTTATTTACTCTTAATTTTGTGTGTGTGTGTGTGTGTTTGCCTGCATATATGTAAGTGTACCATGTGTGTTTCTGGACCTGCAATGGCCAGAAGAAGATATCAGATCTTAGGAAGTGGAGTTACAGTTGGTTGTGAGATGCTACATGGGTGCTAGGGACCCAGCTGGGTCCTCTGGAAGAACAGTGGATGTTCTTAAGTGTAAATTAGGACCCGTTAACAGATCTTATGACATCACTATTGCTTTACAGCTAGCAGGCTAAACTTTGCTTTTGTTTTTTGTTTGTTTTTTGCTGTGGAGGAGTGGCCTTCAAGACAGGGTTTCTCTGTATAGCCCTGGCTGTCCTGAAATTCACTCTGTAGACCAGGCTGTCCTCCATCTTACAGAGATCCACCTGCCTCTACCTCCCGAGAGTTGGGATTAAAGGCGTGTACCACCACCACCCAGGATCTGATCATTTCTTTAGAGGACAATGAAAAACATCTATTTTAATCCATGTCTTAGATTTGAAGTTTTATTTTAGAATGTAGACATTTTCCCATAATTATACAGAACAAGATTTTGCCATAAACCATTCAGTACAACTAAACTCTTAGCACTTTATAGGAAATACTATATTTTATTATGTCAAAATCCTTCAAAATATTTCCCGTGTGTGTGTGTGTGTGTGTGTGTGTGTGTGTGTGTGTGTGTGTGTGTGTGTGTGTGTGTGTGTAATGTTATATATAAACACATGCACAGGGCTGGAGAGATGGCTCAGCGGTTAAGAGCACTGACTATTCTTCCAGAGGTCCTGAGTTCAATTCCCGGCAACCACATGGTGGCTTACAACCACCTTGAATGAGACCTGTACCCTCTGCTTGCCTGTAGGCAGAAGGCTGTATACACAATAAATAAAGAAATATTAAAAAAAAAAACACATGCACATATTTTTCCCCTCCCAAAAGGATAAACTTAAAGTCCTAGTAAAGGGGACTTTGAAGTCACCCTGCAGTTGTAAAGACGAGGTTTTCATGCATAGGTAGCACAGGGTCCAGCAAGCTGGCTCAGCAGGTAAAGGCACTTGCTGCTGCCCAATAACCCGACTTCAGTTTCTGGGCACTCACATAGTGTAAGGAGGGAACTGACTCTCAAAACTTGTCCTCTGACTTCCACATGCATCCCACCTTAAGAAGAGATTATTTAATTAACTTTATAACATTTTCTAGAAGATGCTAAAGAGTTTGTATGTGTTGAATGATTTATGTCACAGTCTTGTTCTGTATAATTGTGGCAAAACATTTATATTTTAAAATGTCCAAATCTCACCTATGACTTCTAAATAAATATTTTTCATGTTCCATTAAAGAACTATTCAGACTTTTAGCTGTAAACCACCAATAAAGGCCTAAATACACACACACACTCACACACACACACACACACAGAGTGAATAAGTAAATGTAGTTAAAATGTTTTGTTTTGAGAGCAGCACAGCCTGGGAGTGCAGCCCAGTGGTAGAGTATCAGCCTATCATGTTCAAGGCCTTGAATTCAATCTCTAGCACCTCTAATTCATGATAGTGGCCTATTGTATGCCTAAATGATTCCTTCAGTAAAAACCTAGTTCTAGGGACTTGTGAATGATGAGTATCTGTAATAATTATTCTAAATTTCCCATACCTAAATTCCTTTTAAGCTCCTAGTGGTGGTAAAATTCTTAGAATTCTCTATGAAGAAAATGATGAATCTGAGGTGGAAATTATTCATGTTACATCCCCCATGTTGGAAACAAGAAGGGCAGATTCATTCCGCTATCCTAAAACAGGTACTGTATTCCACTGTTCTTACTTATTCATTTCCTCTTCTAGGTGTGGTGGGATGGCTCATGCTTGTAGTCCCAGTGCTTGGAAGGCTGTGGCAGTAGGAGGGTTGTTAGGAGTTCCAGGCCAGCCTGAGATACAAGATGAGATCTTGTCTCAAAAACAAAAACAGAGTCTGCAGTCATTCAAATGTATAGTCAGCTTGATCATTAACAGCCTTCATAAAGATTGTTTTTTCATTAAGTATAGCTTTTGAATCTTTGTTTTTCGAGGTGGGTGTGCCCACAAAACTGGGAAATCAGCAAGAAAGTGTCCCTCCCTGTCAAAGACTTTTAAGTGATTTTGTTCTTAATAAGTAGGTGGGGTTTTTTGTTTGTTTTTGTTCATTTTGCTGTTTGCAACATTTCAACAAAAAGTAGTGGATAACTCCTTTTTTTTCATACTGACTCTAGTTTTAACCTCTTTACTGTTTGCTACTCATGAATTTTTGCACAATAAAGCCCCAACTATATACAGTATTCCTAACCTAACTAAAATCTGAATGACACCAATCTGAAGAAGTTGGTTGGAATAATTCTGAGCTTTATTATTCATTTATGTTTCTTTCTCAAGGCACAGCAAACCCAAAGGTCACTTTCAAGATGTCAGAGATACTTGTTGATGCTGAAGGAGGGGTAAGTTTGAGGCACTGAACACTTTGTGCTTTGTCCAGCTGTCTAAGAGGCTCTTTGATGTAGTGTAGTTGCCTACTTGTTGAAGTTGACGAGACATTTGTGGTTCATAATTTACAGGTTGACCTAGTTTTCTTCCTTGAAAGCACTCATATGAGGCCTTCAGGGAGGGATATATAAGAACCTGTGTTAAATCCCCAGAACCTACATAAAAAGCTGGCTTGTAGTATGTGCTTATAATCTGGCCTGCCAGCCTAGCCTACTTATTGAACTCCAGACCAATAAGAGACTGTGTCTCCAAAAAAATTATGAGGAGTAACATAAGTCATCTGGCCTCTGCACATATGCAAATACTCTGTGCTCTTTGCAAAATGTAAAACAGTGGTTTATCTTCTGTGTTGGGTGCACTTCACATCTGTGGTAGATTGAGTAGCCCCTATTTCTCTTTCCATTTGGACAAGCTCACAAGATTAGTTAAAATGCAGATTTAGGGGCAGCTGGAGGGGTGGCTGAACCATTAAGAGCATATACTGTTCTTGTGAAAGACCCAAATTCCGTATCCATCAGGAGGCTTGCTGCCATCTATAACTACATCTCCAGAGGATCTGATGTCCTCTTCTGATTTCCATGGGTTCCTACATTCATGTACACATATCCACATATAAATACATATAAACATATACCTAAAAATAAGTATTCTTTTCTTTGGGACAGAATTTCTCTATGTAGCCCTGGCTGTCCTGGAACTCACTCTGTAAATCAGGCTGACCTCAAACTCACAGAGATCTGCCTGCCTCTACCTCACAAGTGGACTGCTGAGATTAAAGGCATATGCCTCTATGCCCAGTTGTAGACTTAAAAAGCAAGCAAACAAACAAAAAAACATAGCCTTACTAAGATATGTACAATATTTATGTACAATACAATTCATTCATTGAATTTTAAAATTCAGTGACTTTTTGTGTAATCAGTTAGGCAACCAGAGTCCGTTTTAGAGCATTGTCGTTACTTCAAAACAGTTCACCCTTAGTTCTAGGCAATACTAGACCTGCCTATTTTTGAGCATTCATATTCATATGAATGAAATCATACAATATGTTGTTTAGCTTCTTTATTTAATGTTTTCAAGGTCCATCTGTTTACATCATGCATTGGTAGTATGTCTGGAGAGAGAGAGAGAGAGAGAGAGAGAGAGAGAGAGAGAGAGAGAGAGAGAGAGAGAGAGAGAGAGAGTTGCTAGAAAGATGTAGCTTGGGGCCCCAATCTTGCTACCATTCTACTACTGAGCTGTATGTGCAGTCCATGTGCTTCATTTCTTGTTATTTTTGCTGTTATTTATGACTCCCACCCATGAATATGCATGGGAGCCAGAGGTCAACGTCAAGTGTTTTCCTTGATCAGTCTCTTCTTATTTTATATGTATGGGTATTTTGCTTTTATGTTTGTCTATGTAGTGCATGTGTGCCTGGTGACTAGGAAAAGGGCATTAGATCCCTTGTAGCTATGATGGTGAGTGCCACATGGGTGCTGAGAATTGAACCTGGATTCTCTGGAAGAACAGTCAGTGCTTTTTACCACTGAGTCATCTCTCCAGTCTCCATTTTATTTTTTGAGATAGTCTCTCACTGCACCTGGAACTCACTAATTGGCTAGACTGGCTGGCTAGCCAGAAAGCTACAGGGTTTCTCCAGTTTCTTCCTCCCCAGTGCTGAAACAGCACAGTACTACTATGCCTGTCATTTATGAGGGTACTATAAATCCAAACTCAAATCTTCATGCTTGCCAGGCAAGTACTTTACCAACTGAACCATCTCTCCAGCTCCCTTTATTTCTTTTTATTGCTGGATATTGTTTCTTTGTAGCATTTTATACCTGTTCATGAATTGATGGGTGTTTGGGTTGCTACCATTTTTTTTTTGTTTTTCTCATGAAAGGAAAGCTGTTGCCGGGCAGTGCTGGCTCATGCCTTTAATCCCAGCACTTGGGAGACAGAGGCAGACAGATCTCTGTGAGTTCGAGGCCAGTCTGTTCTACAAAGTGAGTTCCGGTACAGCCAGAGTGGTTACACAAAGAAACCCTGTATTGAAAAATACAAAAACCAAGAAAACTGTCATGAAGCCAGACAGTGACATATGCCTGTTGCCACAGCAATGTCTATACACAGGATGCTGAGGCAGGAGCAACATAAGTTTAAGACCAGCTTTCACTTATAGTGGGACTGTATCATCTAAGAGAGAGCAAAAAGGAGGAGTTGGAGAGAGACTGCTAGGAATATGTACATGCAAGTGTTTGTGAGGGTTTATGTTTTTGTGTCTCTGAGGTATACCTGGGGAAATGGTTGGGTCATGTGATAATGCTCTATTTAATCTTTTTTTAATCATTTTTTATTTTAATTTTAAATAGCTTGTTTTACATGTCAATCCCAGTTCCTTCTCCCTCCCCTTCTATTTAATCTTTTGCAGAGCTGCCAGGTTGCTTTGAAAATTATATTCCCACCAGCAGTATACGAGGTTTCCAGTTTTTCCACATCATCCTAACACTTGTTATTGTCCATGTTGTTTGTCACAGTCATCCTTTTAGAAGCAGTAGTGCATTGAGGTTTGATTTACATTTCCCTGTGGCTAATGTTTCCTGTGTTATCTTTGAAAGGCAACCTATTCAGATCTCCTTTGGGGGGGCAGGCTTCAAGACAGGGTTTCTTTGTGTAGCTCTGGCTGTCCTGGAACTTGGTCTGTAGACCAGACTGGCCTCGCACTCACAGAGATCTGCCTGCCTCTGCCTCCCAAGTCCTGGGACAAAAGGTGTGCGCCACCACTGCCCTACTATGGACTAATTTTTTGTTTGTTTGTTTCTTTGTTTTTTGAAACAGGATTTCTCTGTGTAACAGCTCTGGCTATCCTAGAACTTGCTCCATAGACCAGCTGGCCTCAAACTCACAGAGATCTGTCTGCCTCTGCTTCCTGAGTGCTGAGACTAGAGGAGTGTGCCATCACTGCCCTACTCCATTTTTTTAATTACTTTTTTTTTGAGTTGTGCTTGCTAAAAAAGTTTGCCTATCAAGTTCTTTTTTTTTTCATATATTACACAAATATATATTAAACTGAAGTAGAGGGACTTAAAGGGTATTGCTTTTCCTAGATTCTAGACCTAAAGTGAGCAAAATTTGAGCCTGTCATTCATTGTCAATGGCTTTGTTAGAATAAAGGAAGACTTTGAAATCATGTCAGTGCTTGTGCTAGAATTTTCCTGGGTATAGAAAGTACCAACAGAGGAAACCCCTGACTGACTGCTGGGTTTACTGTCAACTTTGTGTCCTTTTTAAGCACCCATGTCTGTAAAGATGATATAAGTACATTAGTGAGAGTGTTATTTTCTCTGTCTTCTGTAACCATTCCCTTTTCTTCTTACTAGATTATAGATGTCATAGATAAAGAACTGGTTCAACCTTTTGAGATTCTGTTTGAAGGAGTTGAATATATTGCCAGAGCTGGATGGACTCCAGAGGGAAAATAGTGCGTATGTTAAATTGTCACTTTCTTACCACTAATTTAGGATCCAGAGCTTTAAAATGTCTTTGCTGTAGGCTTTGCCTTCCCAAGTAAATTGGCACTCTATTATTTCTACGCAGGCCTTTTCCCTGAACTCCGTGACCATACAGATTTGCAGTCCTATAAACATAAGTGTATTATATTGTGATTATAGGAATAATTGTTGGGTGTGGTGTCTCTTGCCTTTAATCCTAGCTTTCAGCAAGCAGAGGCAGACAGACTCTGTGAGTTCAAGGCCAGCCTGATCTCCATGGTGAGTTCCAGGCCAGCCAAGGGTCACATAGTGAAACCCTGTCTTTAAAAAGAAAAATAAGTCAGGTAGTGGTGGTGCATGCCTTTAATTCTAACACTTGCGAGGTAGAAACAGGTGGTTCTCTGAGTTCAAAGCAAGGCTGTTCTACAGGGACAGTTCCAGGATAGCCAAGGCTACACAGAGAAACCCTATCTTGAAAAACTAATGTGTGTGTGTGTGTGTGTGTGTGTGTGTGTGTGTGTGTGTGTGTGTGTATAAAATTGATAGGTAACAAGGGAGAGAACAGAAAGTTATTCATTTCTGAGAGCTTGTTTCATTCCTGATTTCTTCTTGTTCCTTTGAACAGTGCCTGGTCCATTCTACTAGATCGTTCCCAGACTCACCTACAGATAGTTCTGATCTCCCCTGAGTTATTCATCCCAGTGGAAGATGATGCCATGGACAGACAGAGACTCATAGAGTCAGTGCCTGACTCTGTGACACCACTGATCATCTATGAAGAAACGACAGACATCTGGATAAATGTATGCATTTCTTTTTCTTGGACATGACTGTGTATTTTCTCAGGATACTCAGGCAGGTTAAGTTCTATAGCAGGCTAACAAAATGCATCCTTAAATTCAAAGGAACAGTGAACACTTTGAGTTGGAATGATGGTTCCAGAATGGAGCATATACAGCAGAAAGTAGATACCATTGGAGTGGCAGCTCACTAATAACTGCAGCTATGGCCCTGTACACACCGGGTAGAGAGCCCAAGCCTTAGCTCCAGCCTCTGTGCTTCCGAGAGTACTTTCAAGAGTTGTGTCTAGAAACTTCCTTTTAAGTTAGCAAACTATGCTAAATATACTAGTTTTTAATTGAGTTTTGCATTTTCCATTTTAACGTAAAAATTAGATATAAAAGAAAAACATTTCTCTGTCTCTCTGTAGTTGAAAGTAGGCTTCCTGTGATTCACCCAAAACAGATGAACATCTGTTTTCCTTCAACTGTTAGAATGCTTCCCTTTAGAAAACAAAAGTAAAGTATATAAGATTTATACCTTTGCACAAACTGTAACTGGAGCAGCAGCCTTGGCCATGTTGTTCTTTTGCTTTCTTCCATTTGGAAACATTTACTTCTCAGTGTGTGAAGTCTTTGTCGAAAGTAAAACCTATTATTGTAAGTGTTCCATATCCCGAGCACTGTCTATATTTCAAGTAGTCCTTCCTTCTCTCATTTGGTTACCTATGTGGTATATTTATTAATGCATATAGTAAAACTAAACTGTTCATTTTGCAGATTCATGATATCTTTCATGTTTTCCCTCAAACTCATGAAGATGAAATAGAGTTTATTTTTGCGTCTGAATGCAAAACAGGTTTCCGTCATTTGTATAAAATCATAACCATTTTAAAGGAGAGTAAATACAAGCGATCCAACGGTGGACTGCCTGCCCCAAGTAAGAAGTCTTCTTATTTATGTATTTAATGTTTTTACATTTTATTTGTTTGGCATAATTGATCCAAGAACAACCATGTGCAGACAGAGAACAGCTTGTGAGACTCTTTTCTGTCCTTCCACTGTCTAAGTTCCAAGGATCAAACTCAGGGTATGAGAGCTGATGTCAAGGACCTTTACCCACTCCCACCAGCCATAATGTCTTCACTGTAGTCTTTATAAGCACCAGAACTTTTTTCAGTAAACTTAGTAAATATATTAACTGAAATATAAATTTATTCATGTGAAAAGCTGAGCAAATTCTCAATGAATACGTATTAAGCTATTAATAGGGGGTAATTTCTGAGTGATTGGAATACCTATTTTTATAACACTTTTGCCTTGATGGCAATTTTTAATTTGTTTAATGAGCCTTCATGCACTTGTTTCATCAGCACATGTACAAAAAAAAAAATGAGCCCACGTTATTTTTTATTTAAATAACTGTTTTTGTAGACATGGTCTCACTATGTAGCTCTAGCTACCCTAGAACTAATTATGCAAACCTAGCCATCCTCAGATTCGCAGAGATCTACCTGTCTCTGCCTTTCAGGTGCTAGGATTGGAAGTTTATGTCACCACACTAGGTTTTAAGAACTTTGCAAAATAAAATTTATATAGGGATACTAGAGAGATAGCTCAGTGGTTAAGAGGACTTGCTGCTCCTGCAGAGAGCCCAGATTCTCTTCCCAGCACCCACATGGCAGCTTCCAACCACCCATAACTCTCCTGCTGCCTTCTGTCTTCCAGGGACATCAGACATGCATGTGGATACATACATGCAGGTATTCACACATACACATACAATAAAAATAAATCTTTTAAGACTATATTCCAGTGTAGTATATGTCACGTTTGTTTGTACAGTATTTTTTTTTTCCATTAAGATTTATTTATTTTATGTATATAAGTGCTCTATCGACTTTATGCCAGAAGAGGGCATCAGATCCCACTATAGATGGTTGTGAGCCACCATGTGGTTGTTGGGAATTGAACTCAGAACCTCTGAAAGAAAAGCCAGTTCTCTTAACCTCTGAGGCATCTCTCCAGCTCCCCTATACAGTGCTTCTTGATGGGCACCTGGGTTGGTGGAGTGACACAGCTATGTTCCTCTACTGGCTTTCCATTCTTTTAGGTATGTCTAGCTACCAGAAGTTCAATGTTCTATTTAATTTTTCATCATTAGTAAACCAGTGGTAAGGGCTGTACTTTTTTATATTCCTACTAGCAATATGCAAAGATTTTCATTTCTTTCTGTTTTTGTTTGTTTGTATTTGGGGAATAGATTTATTTATTTCATTGTATATATATATATATGAATGTTTTGTCTCTATGTATGCCTGTGTACCACATACATGCCTGGTGCCTATAGAAGTCAGGAAGAAAGGGACTAAAGAGATGGCTCAGTGGTTAAGAACACTGACTGCTCCTCCAGAGATCCTGAGTTCAATTTCCAGCAACCACATGATCTGGTACCCTCTTCTGGCATGCAGACATACATGGAGGCAGGATGGTGTATTCATAATAAATAAATAAATCTTAAAAAAATAAGAAGTCAGGAAGAAGAAGATAGATATCCTATAACTGGAGTTACAGGTGGTTATGAGTCATCTCTCTGGCCCCTGGATTTGTTTTTTGTTTGTTTGTTTGTTTGTTTGTTTTTTCTTAAAGCAGGGGTTTCTTTCTGTAGTTGAGGTTTCCTTTCAATTTTCTAGTCCTGTCTCAGTCCTCATGTGCTGAGATTGCAGGTATGTACCACTACACCCAACTCAAGTTTTAGTTCTTGTTTTTGATTTATTTATTATGTACACACATTTCTGTCTGCATGCCTGAAGAGGGCACCAGATCTCTTTACAGATGGTTATGAGCCACTGTATGGTTGCTGGGAATTGAACTCAGGACCTCTGGGAGAGCAGCCTGTGCTCTTAACCTCTGAGCCATCTCTCCAGCCCCAAATTTTAGTTCTTTATATCCTTGACAATACTTATTTCCTGTTTTCTTGCTTTTATATGTTTGTTTTATTGCTCTTAGTTGTTGTGAATTTATTTTTTTTTGTCTATTTATTTATTTTTCCTTGATTTTCTGAAGACAGAATCTTACTGTATAACTCTGGCTGTCCTAGAACTCACTATGTAGACCAGGCTGGCCTTGCACTCACTGAGATCTGCCTGTCTCTGCCTTCCAAGTGCTGGGATTAAAGGTGTGTCACTGTGCCCAGGTGTGGGTTTGTGTTTTTTTTAGTAGCCACCCTGATAGATGTAAGGTAGTATCTTCCATTTATGTTCTTTCTTTCTCACACTCATACATACTATATTAGGGGATTGAACTTAAGTTTTTGTCAGTGTCATTTTGTACAATATTATCAACTGTTGTCTTTATCTAGTTCCAAAACATTTTCATTACATTGATGTTTTTGTTTTTGTTTATTGTAGCTTTTTGGAATAGACAGTTTAGAAAACTTTTCTATATTGTTTCATTTGTTTATGATCTGGAATAAAGTACTAAATGTTGATTGTATTCATCTTCAGGTGATTTCAAGTGTCCTATCAAAGAAGAAATAGCAATTACCAGTGGTGAATGGGAAGTTCTTGGCCGGCATGGATCTAATGTATGTCTCTTTATTCTACTGATATGTTTTGTCAGCTTCTACTCTGTGTATACAGTGCAGGAAAAAAAAAAAGAATAATACAATATATGTATGTATATAAGTGTGTAGGACCCCAGTGTTTTACAATATTAAGTTAGGGCCTAGAAGAATACAAGTTGTTAGAAAGGAAGAATCTTAGTTTAATCAGAGTATGGTGATACACACCTTTACTTCCAGCACTTGGAAAGCAGAGGCAGGTGGATCTCTGTGAGGTTGAGGCCAGCTTGGTCTACCTAGCAAGTTTCAGGCCACCCAGGGCTACATTGTAAGTCTCTGTCTTTAAAAATATTAAAATAAATTTTTTTAAATCTTATTTTACATTATAGAGCTCACTTATTTTATGGGCATAAGATGACTTTTAGTTACTAAAGACTACCGTTTTCCATTATTTTATTATTTTATGTGTATGATTATTTTGCCTGCATGTATGTCTGTGCACCACATGCATGCCTAGTGTCCATGGAGGCGGGAAGAGGGTGTCAGATCCCCTAGAACTGGCAGAATAGACAGTTGTGAGCCCCATATGACTGCTGAGAATTGAACCATGGAAGAGCAGCCATTGCTCCAGCCAGATCTCCATTTTCAAATATATTATTGCCATTTAGTAAGGAAACAATTTGTATGTTTAGGGATTTTAAAAGTTGTGAGTTAGCATATAACCTGAAAATTACTTTTAGGCCTGATAGACTGTTCATTTTTTACATGGGAAATTATATTTATCATTCTTGAGGGTAGAAATTTCCTTTCATTCACTTGTTTTTGTCTTATGTCACATATTTAAGCTTTCTGAACTAAAGTTAACAGGGAAGAGCTTAGCTCTGAACATGTGGCTTTCTGTAACAATTCATTGAGTCTTTGATTGTGAGGTTTGGGGCCAAAACTGGAATCAGATTTAGCTGCAATGCTGGGCGAGTGCCCTAGTGTTAAGCCACATCCCCGCTGCTTTTTTTATGTTTACCTTGTGACTGGGTCTTTCTTGCAAAGTTGCCCAGGTTGGCCTTGAGCTTTACTCTGTAGAGCAGGCAGGCCTTGACCAGAAGACCCTCTGCCTTTCACCGGAGCCTTTCTTTTGCTTTCAGTTGGTTTTATCTGATCTCTAGAAATTCCTCCTCCTGGCTCATACAGTTAAATGGATGTATGCCACCAGGGTCTAGTGGTGGCCTGAGTATGATTTTATTAAATTCATGGAAATATTACATGTTCTGACATCTTTAGAAATACTGATGGCCTCTGAGGCAATTGACAAAGTGGAATAAAGAGGAGATGGCTCATTTTGGGGAAGTGACTGTGGTACAAGCACAGAACCTAAGATCCGCTCTCCAGGGCCTGAATGATACCAGGCCTGCCTAACACCCACCTCGAACTGAACATACATACACAGTGAGCATACACTCTTACACTTGTGAACACATACCTCAACATATGTGAGCACACAAATTCTGGTCCCCTTTTTTTTTTTTTGTTTGTTTGTAAAATCCTTAGACTAGTGTGGGTAAGACACCCCCACCATGATGTGCTACCTCAGCACGGTCTGAGTGCCTGCATCTTGGAGTCTAAAACTGCACATTAAAATAAAGTCTTACAGTAGGCACCCTTTTAAGTCTGAGTTCACTAGGGTCTCACATAGATGTCAGGTTACGTATTCAAATATTGTTTGTGTGTTTGTTTGTTTGTTTTGCCTCTGGCTAGGGCCTGAGGGAAGAAATGTCATTGTGGAATTCTAGGTTCTAATAACAAAAATGACATTCATGTTACATTCCTGAGTTGTCAAGATGTCTCAGCAGGTAAAGTCGCTTGCTGCTGAGTCTCACAGTTGCATTCCTAGAACCCACACAGTAGACGGAGATATGTGACTCCCTCAAATGGCTCTCTGTGTGCCACATGCGTGCTGTGGCACACATGCAGGCAGACATATATACAAAACAAGACAATTTTTTCTAATTCCATTGGAGTTAAGAGTTACTATATGATACTGACATAAATCCCAAAATCACATAAGCAGAAAGGCCCTTATTTGGGCAACCTAAATGACTCTCCTGTTCACCCCTGTGGGCATGAGTTTTTTAGCCACACTAAATTTTGTGATGTGTTTGTTCCTCTCAAATTCTTCTTCTTCTTTCCTGTATCTTTGCTTTGGTTTTTTGTATTTATGTTGCCTTTTTCACCTTGGCTTTTACTCTGTTCCACTCAGACTTCTTACGACAACTGTGTACAGCTCTCAGGCGTAAGCTCCTGTAACTCTTACTGTTGAGGGGGATATTCAGTGTAGTCCCAGACCAGGGGTGGAACATGCAAATTGATTAGGACCATGCTAGAATTGCAGGGTCAGCTCATCCCAGTCCTCCTCAGAAACTGGTGGTAGGACCCAGCAATCTGTTCAGCAAGCATCTCTGGAGGCTCTAATCCTATTGAATATGAGTGCTTACATGAAACAAAATAAAGAATCTTCTAGATGGGGGTGAAGACAGTGTAGAAAGGCCTGAGTCCCTGCTGCTTCTGCTGTAAAACCAGTCTGACCTTCTGGAGAAATAACATATGCCTGTGGGGATTCTTGAATGTTTGTTTCCCAGAGCAACTGTGTTCATTTACAAATGGATGAATCTACTGTAGAAAGTTAATAATGAAAGGTGTGTGTAAGAGAGAGAGAGAAAGAGGAGGGGGGAGAGAATTATAATACTTTAGAATCTATCTTTTATCTCTATAAAACATTTGGAATTATAGAAAATTTTCAGTAGGCTAGTAGAATATTTTTAAAGTAAGTAACAATAAAAGAAAAACATTTACTTATACTACTATAATTTGTAAGAATATTAAGTGAATTCAGTTCTAGATAGTAACTTAAAAGAACTTATACAGGGCTGGGGACCCTGTGTCATATCCAGTATCAATGCTTAAAATAAATCTTACCCTTGCGTATTTATAAACTACACTGTTACTGAAGCTGGTTGATTCCAGTTATTTCTCAACTTGATAGATAAAATGCTTCTGCAATTTTGTACAAAAGAACTAAAAAAGTACTAAGCTAACAGTGCACTGGCTGCAGGAGAGAAATAAAGTTAATCTCTTCCAAGGAGTAAAATGAGGTGCAATGTAGGCTATTTCCCCTGGAAAATTATCATTATTATTATTATTATTATTAGGAAATAATTCTCTTATTTTAAGGGAAGTACACAATGTAGTCTGATCAGGACATTATTCCCGGTCATGTGTGATTCAGCCTTTTACCTTCTGGACAAGATCTGTTTTTAGACATAAGCAAAGCCAATCACATTGTCATCAGTAGCATAGTAAAGACAAAAAAATCTCAGGTCAGAGAGATGGGGTGATTGTGTATGAGATGGGACTGTCCATGTGTTGCTGTCCTTGTCAGCACTCTGCTGATACTGATTTGTACTGTGATCTTTGCAGATCTGGGTTGATGAAGCCAGAAAGCTGGTGTACTTTGAAGGCACCAAAGACTCTCCCTTGGAGCATCACCTGTATGTGACCAGTTATGCAAACCCTGGAGAAGTGGTGAGGCTGACTGACCGAGGCTACTCACACTCCTGCTGCCTCAGTCAGGTACTGTGTCCTGGTTGGGAGGGATCCTGACATAGAAAAGCCCTGTGTTCACATAAATTCCCTTTCAGTAATGTGAAAAGTGGTGACATTGGCCCACAGAAGCCTTGTCTAGGAAAAGTGCTGTGTTTGCATCATTTGTCAAACTCCCCTTGACCTCTTGCCCCAGCATCAGTGTGTAACCATGGGTAACCTTCCTTACCTTTCCTGTGGAAAGCTGTTGTTGTCTCTCTTTTCTCTAGCATTGTGACTTCTTTATAAGTAAGTATAGCAACCAGAAGAATCCGCACTGCGTGTCTCTCTACAAACTCTCAAGTCCTGAAGATGACCCCGTTCATAAAACAAAGGAATTTTGGGCCACCATTTTGGATTCAGCAGGTATCCCTTTCCCATGAACCCAGGCTTAACTAAGATTGTTACCAGAGTGCACTGTGCTGTCATCCTGTGTCTGTGTCTCTTAGGCTGTCTTCTCATTGCTCAGCCTTGCCTGTCCCTGAGCTGCTGAGCTTCAGGTGGACCTCACTTGCAGTTCTATAAACTGCTGAGTGAGCTGGGTTTCCTTTTGTCTAATCAGGAGCATGTCTAGAAAGCCTTTTTAAAAAGCAGATTCAGAGCTTGGTGGTGGTGGTACACACCTCCCTCAGTTAAACTAATCTAGAAAATCCCTCACAAACATGCCCAGCGGTTCATTGGTTCATTGGTTCATTTTCACAACTGGCAAGATTACCTAACACCATCTTTCTTTACATGTGTGTGTGTGTGTGTGTGTCCCTTGGGTGTGGGTGCCACTTGTGTGCCATAGAGGCCATATGAGAGCTTTGGATCCCTTGGAGAGCTTGAATTCAAGGTTAGCCTGATCTACAAATCAAGTTCCAAGAGAACCAAGGCTCAAAAAACTGAATGAATGAATAAATAAATAAATTGTAAAAGAAAATTTAGCCTGGCGGTGGTGGCTAAATTGATCAGAAACAAGTATATGTTGAGCACCTGCTATGAACAGGCTAAAATGACTAAGTTAAATATAAGGTTCTCGTTCCCTACCCACAACTTTTTTGAAATGCATGCCTGCCTGTTTCTAATCAGGTATGTGCTTTAACCACCAATAAGTGAAGACTGAACTTAGCACTACATATTTGTCTAGTTCTGCATATTAATGCTTCCTAGACTCCAAAGATTATTCAAAACTCAATGCATCTGAGTCTGAAAAAGACAATTTGATATTCATTCATTTTGTTTACAAATGCCTGTTTATTAGATAAACAATAAACTGATAACCTGAGAGAAGCGTGGTAGGTGTTGGGGAGGAGAGCTGAATTTCAGTACTTGCTTCTTTGACTTCAGATTGCAGAGTGCCTCTGAGAACTTCTTTACAGGCTCTGTTGCTACCCACAGGTCCTCTTCCTGACTATACCCCTCCAGAAATTTTTTCTTTTGAAAGTACTACTGGATTTACACTGTATGGGATGTTGTATAAGCCACATGACCTACAACCTGGAAAGAAATACCCCACTGTGCTCTTCATATATGGTGGTCCCCAGGTGAGTATATAAATGCATATAAATATATGTACATACATGTATATATTTCTAGGTGATTTTTATTTTATGTGTATGAGTATTTTTGTCTGCATGTATGTCCGCACTATGTGCATGCCTGATGCTTGCAGAGTTCAGAAGAGAGTGTCAAATCTCTAGTAACTTACATTTATATTCATTCATTCCCAAAATAGTAGCAGAGGTCCTATGATATATACATTGAGAAGAAATTAGTGCTGTTAAGCCTTCTTCCCAGGCAAAAGGAACAATAAACAAGGCCCTGGAGTAAGAACCCCTTGATACTGTTGGTGCAGGATGGGGTGTAGGACAAGAGCAGTAGACTCAGATCACCCAAGGCCCATGTAATCTAAGGTCATAAAGACCACAGAGGCCACCTTGGGATAGGGCTTAGCTTACTGGTAGAACACTGGCCTGGCATTTGTGATGTTAGATTCAACCCCCAATGCCAAAGTGGGGCTTGGATTTTAAATTTTTTTGGTGAAGGCTAATGATAGAAGTAGGAAGGAGCCAGACAACAGTCATACCTCATTTACGTTTTGGAAATACCTGTTTCTGCCTGAAGAGGCAGACTATATAGAGGCTAAGACTGAAAACAGGAAGGTCAATTTGGCAGCTATTGCAGTGATGTCAGACACAGAGAGCACAGACAGGCAGGGTGGGCTCTGCTCCTCCCTTTCTCTCTCACACCACTTAACCATGCTCAGCTCTTCCTAGCATTTTAATAGAAAAACTAGCAAATCATAAAACTTAAAACCTGCCAGCCGGTGGTGGTGCACACCTTTAATCCCAGCACTCGGGAGGCTGAGGCAGATGGATCTCTGAATTCGTGGCCAGCCTGGTCTACAAGAGCTAGTTCCAGGACAGCCTCCAAAGCCACAGAGAAACCCTGTCTCAAAAAACCAAACAAACAAACAAAACAAATAAAAATGAAAACCTTTAATAGGCCAGGTGTAGTGGCACATACCTTTGATCCCAGCACCACTCTGGAGGTATTGGGTGGTAGATCTCCAGCCTGGTCTACATGGTGAGAGTATCCATATATATATATATATATATATATATATATATATATATATATATATATATATATATATATATATATATATATATATATATATATATATATATATATATATATATATATATATATATATATATATATATATATATATATATATATATATATATATATATATATATATATATGTATATATATATATATTATATATATATATATATATATATATATATATTATATATATATTATATATTATATATATATATATATATATATTTATATATATTATATATATTATATATATATATATATATATATATTATTATATATATATATATTATATATTTATTATATATATATATATATTATATATTATATATATATATATATATATATATTTATATATATATATATATTATTATTATTATATATATTATTATATATTTATTATATTTATTATTATATATTATATATATATATTATATATATTATTATTATTATATATTATATATTTATTATTATTATTATATATTATTTATATATATATTATATATTATATATATTATTATATATATATTATATATTATATATTATATATATTATTATATATATTATATATATATTTATTATTATTATATATTTATTATTATTATTATATATTATTATTATTATTATTATTATTATTATTATTTATTATATATTATTATATTTAATATTTATATATATTAGTATTATATTATTTATATTATATATATTTTATTATTTATTATGTTAATATTTATTATTTATATAATATATTATTATTTATTATTTATTTATTATTTAGTATTGATTTATTATTATATTATTATTATTTAGTATATTATTTATTATTTATTATTATTTATTAAGTATTTATTATTATTATTTATTATTTATATATTTATTATTTATTATTTATTATTATTTATTATTTATTATATTTATATATTTATTATTATTTTTATTATTATTATTTATTATATATTTATTATTATTTATTATTTATTATTTATTATTTATATTATATTATCTATTATTATTATTTATTATAATATATTATTATCATTTATTATTTTTATCATTATTTATTATATATATATTATATTAATATTTATATATTATTACATATATATTATTATTATATATATATATCATATACATATATACATATACATATTATATATACATATATTATTACATATATATCATATATAACATATATATATATCATCATATATATTCTTATGAAAATTATGAAAAGACTGACTCAGCAGGTAAATGAGTTTACCACACATGCAAGCCTGACAGTTCAAGTTCAATTGCCTGAGCCACAGTGGAATAAAAGCAAGTCCTAAAATTGTCCCTTCCCCGACAGGGGCATTCACAGACAATTAGTATATACATGCACACCCCACAGTAGTAATAATAGATTTTTTTTTAAAGAATTAGAGAATAAATCTAAACCAGGCACTGGTGGCACACACCTTTAATCCCAGCATTTGGGAGGCAAAAGCAGGTGGATCTCTGTGAATTCAAGGTCAGAGCAAGTTCCAGGACGGGCTCCAAAGTTATATAGAGAAACCCTGTCTTGAAAAAAAACAAAGAAAAAACTAGATCTAGAGAGATGGCTCAGAGGTTAAGAGCACTGACTTTTCAGAGGACCTGGGTTCATTTCCAGGCACCCACATGACAGCTCACAACTGTCTGTAACTCCAGTTCCAGGGGATCCAACACCCTCACACAGACATACATGAAGGCAAAATACCACCAATGCACATAAAATATCCAATCACTGCTGATTACTTCTTTCCATCTGTCCTAGTGCTCCCTCCTGTCTCTTTCACAATTTCATATCCTTTTTTTTTGTTATTAATAACTCCAATCTAGTTAATGCTGCTTATGTGTGCTTCTTGCTAGAGGTTTTCTTGTCCCACCAGATCCCGCTACTTCAGCCCCAAATGAACACACAAAGACTTATATTAATTATTAAACTGTTGGCCAATGGCTAGGGCTTCTTATTGGCTAACTCTCTCTTAATTATTAACCCATAACTACTAATCTATGTATTTCTGCATGGCCTTATCTTACCAGAGAACACCTGGCATGTCCTGTCTTCCTGGTCTCTACATGGTGTCCCTCAAGGTCTCACTCTTCCTACCTTTCCCAGAATTCTCCTCATCTCCTAGCCCCACATATCTTCCTGCCTCTATTGGCCAAATAGTATTTTATTCATCAACCAATAAGAGAAACATATATACAGAAGGACATCCCACATCATGTGCTAATAACTGAGTTTTTAAAAAAATCAAAGATTTGTATGGACATTTCACAGAATACAGATACATGGTAGCAACTGTGTGTAGGAGAGAATAACAGACTCCTCAGTTACCAGGGAGCTGCATCTCAATACCTTGGTGAGAGCGGCGCCTCACATGGTAAAATGGGCAAGGAAATGGCATGACTACTTTAGTCAAGAGTTCCCTGGTTTATTTTTGATTTGTGAGAGGAGGTCTCACTTTATTACCCAGGCTAGCCAGAACTCCTAGGCTCAAGTGGTCTTCTTGCCTTAGCCTCCTCAGTGGCTGAGACTGCAAGCCTCAGTGCACCTAGCCTTCCCAACCCCTCTAATTATTTTGTATTTATATGTGTGCATGCATGAAATATAGGGGGTTCCACAGAGCATATGGAGGTCAGAAAAACTTTACCTTTAATGGGTTCCAAAATAATCAAACTCAGGTCTCCAATCTTGCATAGCAGGCCTTTTAACCCACTGAGCCATTTCTCCATCCAAACCCCCAATTTTTATTTATTTATTTATTTATTTTTTTTTTTTTTTTTGAGATAGAGCTACATTGTGTAGCTCTGGCTGGCCTGGAACTTGATTTATAGACCAGGATGACCTCAAACTCACAGAGATCTGCCTACCTCTTCCAAGTGCTCGGATTAAAGGCATGCACCATTATGCTTGGCTCCCTCTCATTTTGGGGTTTTCTGTTGTGGTTGTTTTATTTTGTTTTTGTTTTTCAAGACGGTTTCTTTGTGGCTTTGGAGGCTGTCCTGGAACTAGCTCTTGTAGACCAGACTGGTATTGAACTCACAGAGATCCGCCTGCCTCTGCCTCCTGAATGCTGGAATTAAAGGTGTGCACCACCACCACCCAGCAAATGTAATACATCTTAAAATATTATTCCACAACAGGCCTTGAATTCAGAGATTTCCCTGCCCCTGTTTCCCAAGTGCTGGGATTAAAAGTGTGTACCACCACCACCACCTGGCCCTAAACTCTTTTCATTATCATTAGCAGGAGGATTCTTCAAATAATGATTAAAATATCATACAAACTGGACCTGGGGGTGCACACCTGCAATCCCAGCTTTGGGAGAAATGGAGATAGAGACAGGATTCAAAGTTCAAAGCCTGACTTGTCTGCTCAGTGAATTCAAGTCCAGCCATGGCCACTTGGTGACTCTCTGTAAAAATAGAAGTGAAAGGGACCTGAGGCTCAGTGCTGATTGCCCAGCATGTGCAGGGCCCGGGGTTCAGCCCCCACATTTGCCAGATACACACATACACAAACACCAGTAACCTAGTCATCTGTTACCAGTCATTGTTCAGTGCATAATTACATGTGCTCTCTTTGATAACACTGGCAGTGCAGTAGCTTGTTTGCATATCATAGCCCCAAACACAGGAGTAATGCACCATGTCATGCCAGCTGTGCTGTCATTAGATGACAGGAGGTTCTCAGCTCCACCATGATCCCATGGGATTACCCTTTCATGAGTGCCCTGAGCATGAACATGAACATGCTGGGTGTGACGGAATCATCTTTTCACTAGAAACAACTCCATTTCTAATAAAGCACCAACATGCATTTATGTTCTTGGTCACTTTAAGGTGTAGTCTCTAGGGTGATAAAATAATGTTAAAATTATGATACTTTCACACTAATAACAGGCAAAAGATAACTGGGCTGATCACAGTGTTCATTAAAATGATCCATCTTGCTAAGCAGTGGTGTGCACACCTTTAATCCCAGCACTCAGGAGGCAGAGGCTATGAGTTTGATACCAGCCTGGTCTACAGAGCAAGTTCCAGGACAGCCAGAGCTGTTTCACAAAGAAACCCTGTCTCAAAAAACAAAAACAAATAAACTACATCTTTCCACTGTCACTTAGCAACAACTCCAGAAGAGACAGGTAGGGAGGGAAGATATTCTTAATTTGTCCTTTTCACTGTTACTTGAATGGCATAACTCTTCAGAGTATTTAATTTAGCAGCTTTCTCTGTGGGGTAGATTAACTCTCTTACCTTACTTAAATCTTAGTTATTGGAGCTAGAATGAAGTCTGCAGTTGTGTGGTATTTGCTATGAGGGTTTGAGAGTAAAACTAAGCATGGAGCAACATAAACATTCAAAGACCTGAATAAACTTTAAAAATGTATCACTTCATACTTACATTTTAAAGGCAAGATAATAGTTAGTACATTCAGCTTTCTAACTTGCAGTGTCTCCATCTCATGATTTGTATGCTGCCACATAATTCACTGAAGACATGTTTCTTTCCTAGGTACAGCTGGTGAACAATCGATTTAAAGGAGTCAAGTATTTCCGCCTGAATACCCTGGCCTCCCTGGGTTACGTGGTTGTGGTGATAGACAATAGGGGATCCTGTCACCGAGGGCTTAAATTTGAAGGCGCCTTTAAATATAAAATGGTGTGTGAGCATAGAACACTTTCTTTTCCATATGTTTTCATTTTCTTACAGTTTATTTGAGTTGGGGGAGGACCTGAGTGACAGTGAGGGAGAATGTGTTAGAATTGAGCAGTGGGATAAAAGGTACAGTTGGTTTACATTAGGCTCACTCCTGTCTACCTGTATATCTCCCAGGAGCTGAGGTACAGCCACTTCTACAGAAAAATTCCCTTTCCAGTTTGTTTTTTGGCCTTAGCCACAAGGCAGCCCTATTTCGTTTGCAGAGTCCCATATACTGCTGAGGAATAACTGAGATTTGTTCTGTCCTCTGTGAAGAGGGAAACCGACTGGGTAGTTCCTTCCTTGTGACAAGCCTCTTTCTCTCTGCAGGAAGCTTTAAATGCTACCTTTTAGAGATGCCCCAGGTCCTTTCTGCTGCTTTGGGAAATGATGGCAGTCCGATGTTCCTTTTGCACAGTAAGGCAGTCCCTGTGGCTGCCAGTGTGTTGGACATGCTGAGTGAGACATGGGATGGCCTCCCACAGCCAGTTCTTTGACCTTATGTTGTATTCTCATGTAAGTTTTGTTGTTGCTTTATTTTTTGGTTTTGGCTCAGTGATGTGAGACTGTGTACACTGGCAGGCCAAGTGATGTCTTGGGTGGTGCTGGAAGGAATTAGGACATCCAGAGTTTTGCTAGAAGTATCGTGCTAGAAGAAAGGAAGTTCAGGCCTTTGCTTTACTGCACTAAGTGCTAAAAGGAGAAGTAAAATTAATCAATCTCTTAAAGGGGCTGAATTTTTGTCTTTGGATAGAGGAAGGCTTGTTACAAGGAAGTTGCTGGCCTCTTAGCAGACAACAGAACAAATGGAGTGGGAGACACCCTGCAGCTAGGGGCAGTATGGGCAGTGACGGGAAAGAACTTGATGACTGTGTGGAAACTAAACTCCCAGCAGGGTAGAACAGAAAGCAGCAGGCCCTTACCTGTAAATGTATTTTTTTTTAATTTCTTGAGGGAAAATAGAATATCAGTTGTTAATAAATTCTAATCTGAATAAAAGAAACCCTCCAGGAATTTTTAGTAAAAACACAAAGCAGCTTTAAAAGAATCCTCTAAGACTAGTATGTGTGAGAACCAGTGAGCTATCCCCCATTTTTGACAGGGTCAAATAGAAATTGATGATCAAGTGGAAGGACTCCAGTACCTAGCGTCTCAGTATGACTTCATTGACTTGGATCGTGTGGGGATCCACGGCTGGTCCTATGGAGGCTACCTCTCCCTGATGGCATTAATGCAGAGATCCGATATCTTCAGGGTATGTGGCTACTATTATATTTGTTTTTGTAATTGAGCAGAATTCTCTGTTAATTGAAGACAAATGAAAATGATTTTTCTGAAAGGCCAGGTGTTGCCAATATTGTAGAATGTCCAGTTTATGTGTTTTACAACATGGGAAATGTATCTGTAGTATTAATTAGCTTTTAAAACAGCTGTCAGCTTGGGCACCAGTTTATAACTACTTATACATTCCAAAGAATGATAGTTATGATTAGTGAAACACATTATACTTCCTGGATTGTAATTACTTGTTTAATCACTGACCGACAACTTTGCTCTATGCCCTGGCATACCCTCAACAGCTAGCAGTGCTTAACCTAAGTGAATCCTCAATGTATCTATGCCCAGTACAGGGCCCCAGGCTGGGTCTCTGGCACTTAAAAAAAATCATATTGAATGAACTGAAATGTTCTTTAATGTTTTGGTAATAGTGGGATTTGAACCCAGGACCTCTTGTATACCGAGGCACATGCTCTACTAGCAAGTTATAGACCCAGCTCACTAATTTTTTATGTCAGTAATACGATTTTTATTTTAAAGTGAGAAATTCTTTAATCTTTTGTTTCGGGAGTCTGTTTTGAGACAAGGTTTCATGTGTTCTGCTGGCTCTTCTGGTGTGGCTGAAGATGATTCTGAACTCCTACCTCTAACTTCTAAGTGCTGGGATTACAGGCGTAGACTACCATGCCCTGTTTATGAGAAAAGTAATCTTTAGAAACAAAGTAGCCAGGCTTGGCAGCACACACCTGTAGTCCTGAGACCTGGGTCAGAGAAACAGAAGGATTGCCAGTTTGAGGCCAGCCTGGGCTACATAATGAAACACTATCTTTAAAATAAAGCAAGTTAATTAGAATATCTAAATATAAGACTATATAGGAGCCTTAAATGAGGCATATTTACTTAAGTATAGTCCAATAGTTTAAATTCTGCGTTGAAAAGAAAAAAAAAAAGCTGGCTGGGTGTTAGTGGTACACACCTTTAATCCCAGCATTTGGGAGACAGAGGCAGGCGGATCTCAATGAGTTTGAAGCCAGCCTGCTCTACAAAGTGAGTTCCTGTACAGCCAGGACTGTTACACAGAGAAGCCCTGTTTTGAGAAAAATCAAAAAAGGGGGTGGGGGGACAGTAGGAGCTTTTTTTTTTTTTTTAAAGATTTATTTATTTATTACAAATACAACACCCTGCCTCCATGTACATCAGAAGAGGGCACCAGATCTCATTACAGATGGTTGTAAACCACCATGTGGTTGCTGGGAATTGAACTCATGACCTCTGGAAGAGCAGTCAGTGCTTTTAACCTCTGAGCCATCTCTCCAGCCCCCCAGTAGGAGCTTTTTTATATCAAGCTGGCAGTTGTCACACCTGTTTCCCAGTGGGGGTTGGTTTTCATGGCTGTCCTCACACTTTCATTCAGTACCTGCTTTGGATAAAGAGACTTACAGCTTGTGTTTCAACTGCCCCTGGTTTAGGAGTTGGTGTGGGTTATGCCTGTGGGACATGAGGCTTACTGACTCACAGAGTATCAGATTTGTGACCTTGGCTCCTGATTTTAGGCTTCTGCATGTCTGAGATGTGTGCCCAGGAGTAGGGACCAAAGCCTTGCAAGGGTAATTTTAGCTTATACATTTGCCGTTGTAAGTTCTCTCTACTAGCACTCTTTTCTGGGGCACAGCTGACTGTCCATGTTGTTATATGCAGGTTGCTATTGCTGGGGCCCCAGTCACTCTGTGGATCTTCTATGATACAGGATACACAGAACGTTATATGGGTCACCCTGACCAGAATGAACAGGGCTATTACTTAGGATCTGTGGCCATGCAAGCGGAGAAGTTCCCCTCAGAGTAAGTTAATGCTTTAAAATGAAGGCTATTGACTTTAAATGGTATTTTTAAAACTTTAAGAATGATGACAAAAACTAAATACTGAAAGCTAAAACTAAGATTAAGGTTTTGTAAATACTAAAAAGTTCCTTTTTCTACCCCTTCAGTACTGGGGATTGAGTCCAAACCATTGCATAGACAAGTGTTCTGCCACTAGCTGCTAAACTGCTGGAGTGGAATGGATGCCACTCAGAGCAAATTAAAAGCTAGTTCAGATAATGTATTAAGGAGAAGGATTTTTAATGTGTTTATGATTATTTATTTATCTTTACAAATAATATATGAAGCAGTTGCTTACACTGAAAGAAATTAAGTCTGTAATTGTGTCAAAGTGGAAGGAAGTCTGTTAACGACTGTTTTCACAAACGTGTCGTCAGGCACATGCAGTAAATACTAATAAGAAGCTGAGCATGCCTTTCTTTTCCTTCTCCATTACATGTGGTGTCTGATTACTGTATTACAGATTTAATGCTGGAAATAATGAGTCCTCATCCTAACAGTACAGAAACATTACCTGTCATAGTGGTCAGCCCTAATGCTCTTCTTCTATCTTGCCTAATCTTCTAATATTTTTATTTCTCCAGACCAAATCGCTTACTCCTCTTGCACGGGTTCTTGGATGAGAATGTTCATTTTGCACACACCAGTATATTGCTGAGTTTTTTAGTGAGGGCTGGAAAGCCGTATGACTTACAGGTGGGTTGTTCCACATTTTCAAATTCAATGTGGTGGTAAGTAGTGAAAGATTACTCTGAACGCTAACAAAATGAGGAATGTGTCTGTACTCTACCCCAGAACACTAAAGTAATAGGCAGAGTTACTAGTCTTTAGTTGATGAAAAACTAAGATTCTACTGAAGGCTGACCAAAACATGGCCTATCCAATTACATGGCTTATGTGTCTGTGTTTGTTTAGCCTGTAGACCTGGAAGTGGCTGCTCAACCCAATCACTGTCTTCCTTTGCTTCCATTCTCCCATTTAATGAGTGAGGAAATATTACATGATCTTGTTTTGGTTTGCTTTGCTTTGCTTTGCTTTGTTTTGTTTTGTGTTTTCGAAGACAGGGTTTCTCTGTGTAGCTTTGGTGAAGTGGGTGTGGTGGTGTATACCTGTAATCCCCGCAGCACTCAGGAAGTCAAGGCATGGGGACCAGAACTCCAGGATTATTAGCCTTGGCAACATAGAGAGCAAGCCTGCGCTACATGATATCCTCTTTTTAAAAAAATATTATTCTGGGGCTGGAGAGATGGCTCAGAGGTTAAGAGCACTGGCTGTTCTTCCAGAGGCCCTGAATTCAACAACCACATTGTGGCTGTCAACTCTCTGTAATGAGATCTGGTGTCCTCTTCTGGCATGTAGGCATACATGCAGACAGAACACTGTTTATATAATAAATACATAATTTTTTTCTTTTTGGTTTGTTTGTTTGTTTGTTTTGTTTTTCGAGACAGGGTTTTTCTGTATTGTTTTAGAGGCTGCCCTGGAACTCACTCTGTAGACCAGGCTGGCCTCGAACTCACAGAGATCCACCTGCTTCTGCCTCCCTAGTGCTGGGATTAAAGGTGTTTGACACCAATGCCTGGCTTAAATACATAAATATTTAAAAAATAAATACATAAAAGAATAATAATAAATTATGTTAACACAAATCATGTTTATCTTGGGGGAAAATAATTCCAAAAGAACTGAGAAAAAATGCTGTTATTTTATTTTTATTAATACCCCCTTGAAGAAGTCACGTTTCTGCTTTCAGTCTGGTGTGTTGTTTTGATTGAAATATATGAAAACAGACTAGACAGCTCAGTAGTTAAGAGCTCTTGTTGCTCTTGCAAAGGAAGGACCTTAGTTCACTTTCCAGAATCCATGTGAGACAGCTTACCAGTGCCTGTAACTCAAGCTATAGAGGATCTGGCGTCCTTTTATGGTCTCCATACACATGGGTGTAAGCACATGCACGCGCGCGCACACACTCGGAGAGACAGAGACACAGAGAGAGACGGATTTTAAGTTAGTGGGGTTTTTTTTTTTTGTTTTGGTTTTTGGTTTTTCGAGACAGGGTTTCTCTGTGGCTTTGAGGCTGTCCTGGAACTCGTTCTGTAGACCAGGCTGGGCTCAAACTCACAGAGATCCGCCTGCCTCTTCCTCCCGAGTGCTGGGATTAAAGGTGTGCGCCACCAACACCAACTTTTTGAGAGAGGGATTTTAAATCTAAGTACATGAAGAAAATTTTATCTAAGTACATGTTAAGAAGTGGAAAGAATGAGTTAGTCCTCAAGCTATCTTTTGTAGAAAGCTAAAGTCATATTTATAAAAACTTCATGCTCTGCCACATTAAAATCTGTTGGACCTTTCTTGGGCTAAAGACATGGTTCAGGGTTTAGAGCACCTGTTGCTCTTCAGAGGATCTGGGTTCCATTCTCAGCAGCCGCATGATGGCTCACAACCATCTGTAATTCTAGTTATAAGGAAGCAGTTCTCAACGTGTGGGTCATGATTCATTTAGGGGTCAAATGACCCTTTCAGAGAGGTTGAATATCATTTATTTACATTACGATTCATGGCAGTAGCAAAATTATAGTTATGAGCAACAACAAAAATAAATTTATGGCCTGGCAGTGGTGGCACACACCTTTAATCCCAGTGCTTGGGAGGCAGAGGCAGGCAGATGACAGTGAGTTTTGGGGCCAGCCTGGTCTACAAAATGGGTTCCAGGATAGCCAGGACTGTTACAGAGAGAAACCCTGTCTGGAAAAATAATAATTTTATAGTTGAGGGGTCCCCACAACATGAAGAACTGTATCAAAGGGTCACAGCACTAGGAAGGCTGAAAAGCACTGCTCTAGAGGGTCTTATGCTGACCTCTGGTCTCAAGCACATACATACACACATTCATACACATAAAATAAATCTGAAAAAAATTAATCCACTGTACGTTAAATTAATATTTTTACTCTTGAATTGATACCTGGAAAACACCACGTTAGCAACTCCCAGTATTGACTCTTTATTGTATCACATTTTTGTTTTCATTGTTTTTGTGGTGAACTGGTTATTTGGTTGGTTTTTTTGTTTGTTTGTTTGTTTGTTTGTTTTGCGATATGGTCTCACCCTGTACCCATGGCTGACCTGGAACTCATTATGTAGACTCAGTTGGCCTTGAACTCACTGATATCCACCTGCTTCTGCCTTCCAGGTGCTATGATTAGAGTCATAAGCCCCCTTTTTCTTTTTTCTTTTTTTTCCAAAACAGGGTTTCTCTGTACTGCTTTGGACCAGGCTGGCCTCAAACCCACAGAGATCCACCTGCCTCTGCCTCCCGAGTACTGGGATCAAAAAGTGTGCCACCAACACCCGGCTTATTTATTCTTATTTTATGTGCTTTGGTGTTTTGCTTGCATGTGTGTCTGTATGAAGGTGTTGGATTTCCTGGAACAGTAGTTACAGATGGTTTGTGAGCTGCCATGTGGGTGCTGGGAATTGAACCCAGGACCTCTGGAAGAACAAGCAGCCAGTGCTTTTTAACTGCTAAGCCATCTAGACAGCCCCTCATGCCCATATTTTTATAGTCCCACACTCTAATAGTATGCAGCTGAGGTGGAGTGAGCTGCTGGTTAAAACATCATGTAGCATAAGGGTTAAAAAATGTCTACCCCAAGGTTCTAGTTTATAAAATTCTGATTTTTACTACCACTTAAATGAAAGTGGCATGTTTCTTTTTTACTACATCTATGTGATAGAGACTACTATAGCTCCCAGGATAATATAATACCTCACCATGTGCCTCACTAGGTCACCACCACTTGAATTCATTAATTCTGCATTGTCAGAGCAGCACAGTAAATCACTCAAGGCCAGTGCTGTCTACAGATTTTTTTTTTACATAGTTTTTATGTGTTGGTTGGGTTTTTTTTTTTGTTTTTTGAGATTTCACTATGTAGGGTCAGGCTGGCCTTAATTTCATGATCCTCCTACCTCCACCTCCCACCTTCCATATGCTGGGCTAAAGGTAATTTAGACCTTGTATGGCGTTTAAAATGGTTTCCAAGAACTCTTGGAAGCACACAGAGCACACTCAGGTAATGAACCACTGAAGAATCCTCCTGAAGCCTTATAGTTAGGTGTATAAATACTCATAAGAAGAGCTGTGAGATAATATGAATTAATGCAGTACCACAGAGAGACCGTGTTCCATAGTGATAATCCAGTTAGAAATCTCTGGAAAGCATCCTAGCACATGAGCCCTAGAGACAGGAAGATCTGTAGTTTGAGGGTATCCTTGGCTGCAGAGTGAATTTTAGTTGAGCTGGGCTACATACATGAGATCCAGTCTCAAAAAGCAGTATATGAATACATTGTGAAGAGGAACATCACTAAACTCTTCTTCTTGCCTCTGCTCTCTGTTGTGAAGATCTACCCTCAGGAGAGGCACAGCATCAGAGTTCCCGAGTCTGGAGAACATTATGAACTGCACCTGTTGCACTACCTTCAGGAGAACCTTGGATCACGTATTGCTGCTCTGAAAGTGATGTAACTCTTAGAATGCGGGTGTACACTCTCTAACCAAACGCGGAGGATTAGTCAATGGAGAAACCAGAGTTGATGATCGTACTTTGGTACCCGCCATGTAAGATGTACTTCTGAAAGTAAATTTGGTGCCAAGCAGAAATCTGCAGTTAATGGATAGTAATCTAATACCTTAACCATGCACACAGAACTGAGTGACATATTTTCAAGAGATTCAGCAGTACCACGAGGATACTGAAAGAAGCAAAGCATCAGCACCACATTCACACTAGCCTATTTTCACATTCACTAGCCGTATAAGTCTCTTGGACTTAATTAGTGGATTTTACAGTATACTTCTGAGTTTTCTAAAATATGATGATAGTAGTGATTGGTTTGGTTCAATTCCAGGATCTCTGACTAGTTATGGATTTGATAGCACTTGCGTCTAATTGAATAGCTTATGCTTCGTCACTTGGGGTGTATCCAGCATGTCATGAACTAATTACTATTAAGCTTATGACTTTCCCAGTCATTAATGATTTTTCAAGGATAACTTAGTGGCCTCCTAAAGATACTTACTTGGGCTCTGACAAGTTTTTAACCAATTTAAACAGCATCTAGTATAAGTACTTCTCCTTTTTCTTTAATGATATGATGGAGTGGGGTTTCCTTTCATATAAAGGCAAGTAACTATGTAGCATGAGTTTAATCACAAGTCTCAAGATGTTGACAATTACAGGCAAAAAAAGTTTTTTAATCAAATTATTTAAGAGCTTGAAAATTAGCAGGCAAGTTTTTTTGTCCTTTTAGGGACAGAAAATGTACACATTCATTTGTATTCTGAAAATGTAATGGTGCCCATTTTCATTTGGTCTTTCCTTACTAAAATGTTCCAGAGTTTCCAGGCGGTAGAAGGATTACAGTGGGAGTGGGGAGACCCTGGTGCAAGGAGTGATGGGAAAGGAGGCAGCGAGGCTCTGCTTAAGAACTGAGCAGAGATAGTTCTGCAGAAATACTCATGAGAAAACCTGGGTAATGTAAACTTCCTGAGTGGCTGGGAACCAGAACTAGGAAGTCAGGCTTTGCCAGTACAGCTACATGGTCAGCATTCGGAGGAGTACTTTTATAATTCCAGCTTTTTGTTATTTTTCTTTTCAACTTTAGAAACCTTGCAAATCTAAACTGTAACTTTTTTGTTTGGTTGTTTTTTTTTTTTTTGGTTTCTCATGACAGGGTTTCTCTGTGTAGCTTTGGAGCCTGTCCTGGAACTTGCTCTGTAGACCAGGCTGGCCTTGAAGTCACCGAGATCTGCCTGCGTCTGCCTCTGAGTGCTGAGATTAAAGGTGGCATGCACCACCATGACCCAAACTTTTTATTTGAATGTAACTTAGATATAGATAGCTTAAAATAAAAAGTTTCCAGACCACTTGTTTGCCGTAAACTAATCCCTGACAAACCATGACGCTCTCAGTGTTGAAGGCCTATCAACAGTTTTTTAATCGGCCATGACATCCTCCTGGTTTAGCCTTCCTGCTTAACTATGAAGGGAATACATGAGCTTTCAACTGCTGGTTGGTGTCTGCCCTTTAGGGCCTTCCAGTATTAGATGGGTCCCACTGGAGCCAGGCACCTGTGGGTTTGACCCTTTTTAATCACAAACTTCAGTGTTTAGGAATAGTAATTTTAAAATCACTCCAAGAAAACTTGCTGTGTTTTTCCATACCACAGCCGGTCCCTTCCGAAGAGCAATCTGTGTTAGTGAGGATGATAGCAGTCGGATCAGAGGTGGTTGGTGCAGGTGACCATGGGGAAGGGAGGGCTGGTATCTGCTGGCTGTGTATTTATGCTGTATGATAGAGTCCACATTTTTTCTTATTGTCTATCTATTTTGATTTTCATGCTTATGACATTTTCTCGTGCCAAAATTTGTTTATATTTTTCAAAGTTAAATTAAACTGATTTGGGTAACTTTCCTTCCCCAACAAAATATTTCCCTCATGACTTAAGTATCTGTCTTGACTGTTGAAGGTGGTATTGCTGGACCAGCTAGCCTCCAAGGGCTGCTTCTTACATTCTAAGTAGGAGTAACATAAAGTAGCTCTCAGCCACCCTTTTGAAGTCTCTCACCCTTAAGTTTGCTTAGTAATAAGACATTCTTATTTTATGCAAACAAACCTTAGAAAACTTCACTTATTCTAGATTCTGCTGTCACGGGACTGCATTCATGGCCATGTCATTTAAATGCCACCCTACTTCTCTAGGGAGAAAGTGCTTTGCACACTTGCACACAGGTGGCTTGGCTGGGTTTATTTGACTGCAGTGGTGTGGAAGACATCGGTTAGTGGGAGCAATCAGAAGCCACTCTAGAACTCTCTGTCTTCTGACTGTGGATGTCAATGAGAAAGGCAAGAGTTTGATGGGAGCCAGAAAGCTCTCGTTACACATCTAAGTGGGGTTTTCACAGGCTTGTGACAGGTGCACTCAGCAGCTGGTGAGCTACTCAGCATCCAGAGTGGCAAGACTCTTGAGGTTCACCCAGGACTCTGAGCTCAAGAAATGAAGTCTTGAACCTGCTCACACAGGCGTGAGCTGTGTCAGTGTGGGTGGAGACCAGGAGCATGCATTTGTGACACAGAAGCTTCTAGTCAGGTTACTGTAGACTGCTTTAAGAAACTGTCCGGTAAAGAATGGAGTTGGAGTCAGAGAGAGGGTGACTTTTGCATCAAATGATTCTTAAGAACCTAAAACAGTAGTCAAGAAAACTGCTCAGCTGTGATAACTGTTGACCTCTTCTTGAAGAAGCAGGTGCAAGTAACTCTTTATCTGGGGTAATGACTTTTCCTACTCCTGACTCCTAAAACCTCACACAGAAAGATGCAGTCATGATGCACATCTGGCCCTTTACAGCTGTGAGCCACGGAGTGGCTTTTGTTCGGGTGTTTCCTGCCTTACCACAGGCTTCTCTCTGCAGGTGGGATGATTCCAGTCAGAGCCCCAATTGTTACAGAACCAGAAATCTTCCAGCTGGATCAACTCCTTAACATAACCCAGTGTTCTCTTTTGCTAGGGGAAAAGACTGTTCTATAGAGAAAAACGCACCTGAGACCCCAATGTTGGTTAGTACTCAGAACCAGGCTCCAGACTCGGCCTGCCTCAATGTAGTTACATAACATTTAAGAAAGGCAGGGTTTGTTTTTTTTTGGGTGGGTTTTTTTGTTTGTTTGTTTTGTTTTGTTTCTGGTTTTTTGAGACAGGGTTTCTCTGTATTGCTTTGGAGCCTGTCCTGGCACTCACTCTGTAGACCAGGCTGGCCTTGAACTCACAGAGATCCGCCTGCCTCTACCTCCCAAGTGCTGGGATCAAAGGCATGTGCCACCACCACCCAGCAAAGGCAGGGTTTTTAAAGAAGTATTTATTAATATATTCCTATAAAACATTTGAAAGGAAACCACATAAAAATGGTTACTTTTACCTAAGGCAACGATAAGCATGCTTATTAACAAAGCAGTACTTCTGATGAGTCTGTGAAATTCTGAAGTTAACTAAAATCATTACACTAAATGTCTTCCTTGGTGTCGTGGGAGACTGGGACACAGAGTGCTTGCATTGGCCCAGGAGCCCATCTTACAGCTAGCTGATGTGAGACAAGAGCCTAGGCCTGGTCTAAACCATGGAAGGCAAGAGTGAGATGGAGCAAGTGTCCTCTCCCAGCAGATGGAAGGGAACTGGAAGCACCCCCGACTGTGCCCTTCCAGCCCCACCCCTGCTCTCTTGTCCCCCCCCACCGCTAGTGCAAGGAAGGTGCTCAGTCTGGACAGTTGTTCCAGAAGTCCCTTGCAGACACTGTCTGCAGGTTTGGTTTTAAGTAACCCTAATACAAATTGATCTTGTTTTCAGGAAAATTGGAGGTGGTCTTTAATTTTAGCGCATAAAGTGCCTGCTGTCTCAGCACTGACCTGTACATGATCTGCATGTCTCCAGTAAGCATATGGGTCTCCTCATTTTCAGCCCCATGGCTTTTAATCGTGTGATGTGAAGCATTAGTTTTGCTGCATTTTATTACAGGTTCTTGGTTGCAATAAAGATGCTGCTGAAATGAACTGACTTCATTGTTCCTTCCCTCTTTCCTCTTCTCCTGTCTGTACAGCCTTTGCTTTGATGACTCATGACATAAGGCCATGTGCTCCCAATGAAGGGAGATGTTAGGGTTGAGGTGCAGGGTTATGTGGGAGTTCTAGTACAAATACTGACCATCTGCACTGCGTGGGAGGTGTGCAGAGCACTGCTCAGTACCTGCCAAGGTTCCCAAGAGCCCTCGGCCCAGATGCCAGGACAAAGGATGCTTGGAGCCTGGAAGTAACAGATACCCCCTGAACAACTGGGGCTTCTGTAATATACCACTGTAATTGATGGGGGGGGGTCCTGCAGGTTCTGAGCATCTTAAGAGAGTTTAGTACATGCTTTAATTTTTCAGTTATACTTATTTGTGCCATGGCACTAGTGTAGAAGTCAGAAGACAACTTGTAGGAGTCAGTTCTCTCCTTCTACCGTGTGAGTCCCAGGAACTGAACTCAGGTCATCAGATGTGACAGCAAGTAGCTTTACCTATTGAGCCATCTTCCCAGCCCTGTGTAGTATTTTGTTTGTTTGTGACAATTTTAAAGGTTTGCCATCCTTATTTTTTCCCAGTGGTGGTGCAAACCCAATGCCTCTGACACATTAGGCAAGTCCTCAGCCTCTGAGCTATATCCCTAAGCCAACAATTTTGATTTTTCACAGCAAGTTGAGTTTGTCGATGTCCCAGAACAGAGTTTGTCTGGATTCTATGACTTTATGTTATGAATAAAACAAAGCATGAACAAATAAGGTAAACTGTATTAGGGCCTTATGTATATAAAAGTTAGGGATACAAATGATCTTTAAATAAGGTAGTTTGGGGCTGGAGAGATGGCTCAGAAGTTAAGAGCACTGGCATCAAATACCAACACTAACATAGCAGTTAATAACCATTTTGTAACCTCAGTTCCAGAGGATCTAGAGTCCTCTTGTCATCATCTCTGGCAAAAGCACTTACGTGGTACACATAAATTCAGGCACAGCACTCATACACATAATGCACATAAAATTTAAAAGCAATTGTATAGGGCTGGAGAGATGGCTCAGAGGTTAAGAGCACTGACTGCTCTTCCAGGGGTCCTGAGTTCAATTCCCAGCAACCACATGGTGGCTCACAACCATCCATAATTAGATCTGGTGTCCTCTCTTGGCATGCAGACAAACATAGAGGCAGGATGTTGTATTCATAATAAATAAGTAAAATCTTTTTTAAAAAAAAGTAATTGTGGGGCTGGAGAGATGGCTCAGAGGTTAAGAGCACTGACTGCTCTTCCAGGGGTCCTGAGTTCAATTCCCAGCAACCACATGGTGGCTCACAACCATCCACAATTCAATCTGGTGTCCTCTTCTGGCAGAATACTGTATATGTAATAAATAAAACCTTAAAAAAATTGGAAAAAATAAAAATAAAAAAAGTAATTGTATAATTAGTATTTCCTAAACTTCTCACCGTGTCATACACAGAATTACAGGCTGAGTGAGTGGTGAGCAATGCCTTTAATCGAAGCACTCAGAAGACAGAGGCAGGTGTATTTCTGTGAGATTGAGGCCAGCCTGATCTACATAGTAAAATTCAGGCCAGTTAGGACTATACAGTCTTGGAAAAGTCCTGTCTTAGGCTACATTCCGTTATTTCTTCTCCACATAAGCATCAGCATTTTTCTTTTTTGTTTGTTTTGATGATATCCATTTGGTTGGGGTGATGGTATAGTTTTGCCTTTGCTTGGTAGCTAATTAAACTCAGTTCATGAATTTATTAGCCATTTATTTTTGTTTATTTGCTTGGTTTTTCCTAACCTTTTTTTTTGTTTGTTTGTTTTTTGAGACGGAGTTTCTCTGTATTGTTTTGGAAGCTGTCCTGGAACTTGCTCTGTTGCTCTGTAGACCAGGCTGGCCTCTGGCCTCGAACTCACAGAGATCTGCCTGTGTCTGCCTTCTGAGTGCTGGGGTTAAAAGTATGCACCACCAATGCCTGGCCTTTTTTTTTTTTTTTTTTTTTTAAGATTTATTATGTATGCAGTGTTCTGTCTCTAGGCCAGAAGAGGGCACCAAATCTCATTACAGATAGTTGTGAGCCACCATGTGGTTGCTGGGAATTGAACTCAGGACCTCTGGAAGAGTAGCCAGTGCTCTTAACCTCTGAGCCATCTCTCTCCAGCCCTAACTTTTTAAATGTATATGAATGTGATAGTTTGAATAAGACGCCCTCATATTCTTAGGCATCTGAGTGCTTTGTCCCTAGTTGGTGACACTGTTTGGTAGGTTTAGGAGGTGTGGCCTTGTGGAAGAAATATGTCACTGGGGGCAAGCTTAGAGGTTTCAAAAACCATTTGCTATTTGAGTTCACTCTGCTTCCTGCCTGTGGATGGAGATAAGAGCTCTCAGCTGCTGCTCTAGCCACCATGGCTGCATGGCTACTGCCATGCTCTCCCATGTGATGGTGAGGGACTCTGGAACTATAAACCCAAAATAAACTCATCTATAAGTTGCTTTGGTCATGGAATAGTATCATAGTATCATAGCAATGGAAAAGTAACTAATACAATGAGTGTTTTGCTTGCTCTGTGTGTGTGTGTGTGTGTGTAGTGCCCAGGGGGTTTAGAAGAGTGTCAGATCTCCTGGAATTGGAGTTCCAGTGGTGGTTAGCCATATATGGATACTGGGAACCAAACTCTGGTCCTCTGCAAGAGCGACAAGTGTTGTTAACTCTCTAGCCCTGGTTTTTATTTTAGAAAGGAGGCTGTGTGTTTGGAGATTTTTTGTTTGCTGCACCCCAGCCTCCCGACTGGATTACAGACTTGTGCCACTATGCTCAGCTCTATACCAAAGCCTTGAACAAAGGTTCCCCATGTTTTATTCTAGTTGTTTCAC